AATGTACACTCTGTAAGTGGGTGAATTGTTTGGTCAGTGAGTCATATCTCAAAGCTGTTGGAAAAACAGACAAAATTCATTTATAACCATAGAGATGAGAATGGTGGTTGTCTACATGAGGAGGCACGGAGTGAGTGGGAGCAGGAGGGAACCCTCTGCAGAGGCGAAAACGTCCTCTATCTTGGTCCCACAGCGAGTCCAAGGGCAACTATGTAGCCACAGGTGCATCCAGTTGTACATTAACGATTTGCACACTCTGTTTCATGTTTATGACTCAATGAAAAAATTTAAACTCAAGATTTAAACCACTGAAAGAATAAATGTACAGTGCATAAGAGGATAAGCAGGAAATAAAGAAAACTCTCTAGAGCCAAAAGAAAGACGGGAAAGAGAAAAACACACACCCACCAAGAACACTGTTAAAACCTGACCTTACAAAGGCCTCAGCAGATGCCAGTGAACATAGATTCTTGTAGACCTTGTGGGCTAGCCATAATACAATGACTGTAAACACTATCAAAGGCTAACTAGCCAGGGGAGGGGAGGAGAGAAGGGAAGCAGAGACCCCCACTCCTCTAGGGGCCAGGAGCCCAACTGCCCCCCAAGACACAAGCTGCCAACCTGGACTCCAAGCCTCTGAAGCCCTTTTGCTCCAGTCTCTGTGACCTCTCGGACCCCATTCTCCAGGGCTGGACTTCCCTGGCTATCAGCTGAGTTGGGGTGGGGGTGGCTCCCAGAATGAGCTCCCACACCACAGCCCAGGCCTCTGTGCCCACTCCTCCCCAACACACACCCCAACTTCTGCCATCTGTCCTAGGATGGGTGTCCCTTGCTTCTACTAGGAGGCCACAGTCCGGGAAGCTGCAGTTCTGCAGGGGCCAGATGTTGGCGGCTGTGGCCCCTGGCATGTTCCCGCACCTGAGCCAGGAAGCAGGCCTGCCTGTTCTCCAACCCCTCACCCCAACTCTGCTCTGTCCAACCGCACAGGGGCGAAGTTCCCCATCAAGTGGACGGCTCCCGAAGCCATCAACTTTGGCTCCTTCACCATCAAGTCTGACGTCTGGTCCTTTGGCATCCTGCTGATGGAGATCATCACCTACGGCCGCATCCCTTACCCAGGTAAGGAAGGCGGCACCAGCCTGGGGCTGCTCCCGGAAGCAGCCTGCTGAGGGGTCCAGCTTGTCCGTGTGTCCATTCAAAGGGTGCTCCTGACCATCGCCCCAGCCTTCTCTTGTTGCTCCCATCTCCGTTACAGTCACTGCCACTGCCCAGCAGGCTGCAGGCTTCCCTGGCCCCCTCTTCTCCCACACCCCTTACCACATCCCAGTGGTCACGAGCTTCTAGCTACTCAACTCCACGTCTCCCAAGTCTGCACACTTCTCACCGCACAGCCTCCACCCAGGTCCAGGCCACTGCCGGTGCCCACGGGGCTGTGCACGGCCTCGGCATCAGCCTCAGCGCTGCCTGCCATCTCTCTCCTGTGGGCTGGTTTCCTAAATTGTGAATCAGGGTTCATCACTTCTCCACTCCTCTTGAGTGATCTCCCATTACAAGCAAGATAGATTCCCAAACTCCTCATCTGGCCTGATGGTGCCAGGCGATCCAGCCCCTGCCTAATTCTCCAGCTGTAACTCCTGCTGCACCCCTCACCCCATCACCTAAAGCTCCAGGCTCCTGCCCCGTGAGTCTCTTCCTAACAGCCTATCCCGCTTCTTTGGTAGCACTCACCCACTTGACAACTGTGTATCTGCTTCCTATTTTCTCCATCAGACTCAGGTTCCAGGGGGCCAGAAATCATGTCTGTATTCCTCACTCGTGCGTCCGCACTGCCCACCTCTGACTTGGCATGTAGTGCGTACTTAACAATTATTTGTTGAGTGGCTGGACGTATCCTTGTGTCCATGAGCAGTACTCTACACTGAGTGGGCCATGTGGATATTCAAAGATGTATCCAGCGTATAGATGGCCTGGTACTCAGTACATAATGTTGTTCTCTGTTCCTTTTTCCATTGGGTTGTCTCTGGGTGTCTATAGTCAGAACACTGGGACAACACTGATAGAAAGAGTCCCCATGGCCGGCGCCACAGCTCACTTGGCTAGTCCTCCACCTGTGGTGTCGGCACACCAGTTCTAGTCCTAGTTGGGGCGCCAGATTATGTCCCGGTTGTCCCTCTTCCAGGCCAGCTCTCTGCTGTGGCCCGGGAGTGCAGTGGAGGATGGCCCAAGTGCTTGGGCCCTGCACCCGCATGGGAGACCAGAAGGAAGTACCTGGCTCCTGGCTTCAGATTGGCGCAGCACGCTGGCTGTAGCAGCCATTTGGGGGGGGGGGGGTGAACCAATGGAAGGAAGACCTTTCTCTCTGTCTCTCTCTCTCACTGTCTAACTCTGCCTGTCAAAAAAAAAAGCCCCTGACTTTCTCTATAAATAGTACTGAATTTGAATCTTCTCACCATCAGCTATTAAATTATGATAAATTCACTGCACTCCTCCTGCCCCAGGGTCTTCACCTTTAAAATACACAGGTAATGATGTCTACCTTCAGTGGTGGTTGTAGGTATCAGCAATAAAAGAGGTAGACACTGGGTTCCTTCAGGAATATTTACCGAATTCCTACCGTGTGCCAGGCACCGCAGGTACCGTGAGAGACATGACCCCTGCTCATCCAGAGCACCTGTCATCAGGAGCCCACATTCTAGCCGGAGGAACACACACGGAGCAACCACTGTCGGATGGAGGGAGAGAAGGCAGGGGGTGTGAGAGGGAGCGGTGTGGGCTCCTGCAGACAGACCAGCTCTCAGAGCAGGTCATAGCTGAGCCGGGAGCTGAGGGACTATCTGGAGAAGGGATTCTGGGCAGATGGCACTGCTGGCTTGCAGGGCCTTTAGGTGTGTCTGCATACTAGCAAGGAAGCCAAGTAATCAGAGACAAGGAACGAAAGCAGATGCAGATGATATGGTCAGCAGGGCCGACAGCCATGGTGAAGAGTGTGGGTGTTGGTCTAACTGTGCAGGAAACCACTGGAGAATTTGAGGCTGGGAAGTAACATTATGCAGTTTCCACTTTTTAATTTATTTTTATAAAGATCTTTAAAAATTTATTTGAGGGGCTGGCACTGTGGTGTAGCAGGTAAAGCTGCCGCCTGCAGAGCCAGCATCCCATATGGGCACTGGTTCAAGTCCCAGCTGCTCCACTTCTGATCTAGCTCCCTGCTAATGTGCCTGGGAAAGCAGCAGAAGATGGCCCAAGTGCTTGCACCCACATGAGAGACTCAGAAGAAGAGCCTGACTCCTGGCTTTGGCCTGGCTCAGCCATGACCATTGCAGCCATTTGGAGAGTGAACCAGCAGAACCAGCAGATGAAAGATCTCTCTCTCTCTCTCTCTCTCTCTCTGCTTCTGCCTCTCTGTAATTCTGATTTAAAATAAATAAATAAATCTTTTAAAAAATTATTTGAAAGGCAGAGTTACAGAGAGGGAGTGGGAGAGAAAGAGGGAGAGAGCTTCCATCTGCAATGGCCAGGGCTGGGCCAGACTGAAGCCAGGAGCTTCTTCCAGGTCTCCCATGTGGGTGAGGGGCCCAAGCACTTGGGCCATACTATGCTACTTTTCCAGGCACATTAGCAGGGAGCTGGATTGAAAGTAGAGCAGCCAGGATACAAACTGCTGCCCGTATGGGATGCCAGCATTGCAGGTGGCGGCCTAACCCACCGCTCTACAATGCTGGCCCCTGGTTTTAAGGGGAGTGTGTGGGAGGGAAGGGGAATAGGGTGGCAGCCTGTGAGGCAGCTACAGCAATGGCCCAGACAGAGGTGGTGACGGCCAGAACAGAGTGGCTTCACTGGCAACACAGAAGAAGTTGATGAGGTGGTATTATCTTCCAAAGGAGAAACTATATGACTTGCTGCTGCAGAGGTGAAGGAGGGAGAACCAAGGATGATTATCTTGGCTTTAACTGAGCAACAGGTGGGTAAGGGTTTGGGAGCAGAAATTCAAGGTATGTTTTAGCCCTGTTAAACTTGAGTGATTCAGACAGCCAAGCAAGGATGTTTAATGGAGCACTGAAATATGAATTTGGCATTCCAGACCGATCATATAAAATTTGTGATCATAGACATTCAATGACTATTCTGATGTATAATTAATATAAACATTGAACAAGGAAATGGTCCCACTCATAAGGTGGCATTGAGTATGGCCACCTGGCTGTTTTGTCTCAAGTGTACACCAGTAAAAACCACGCAATGGTTTATAGGATGCATTAGGCTGTCAGTAACAAGACGACAGCCTGAGGACAGCTGGAACAACAGACAAGTTATCCTCCCATCACAGGAAGCTGGCACTAGGGCTGGTTAGGCAGGGGCCCAGCGGCGATCAGGACTCTGGGCTAGTTTCTCTCTCATGGTTACATGACTGCTGCAGCTGCCAGTGCTCTCCTGCCGTGGAGAGTCAGAGGAAGGGAGGGAGGCAGTGCATGACCTTCCCCAAAGTCTCTCTTCCATCAGGGAGGAAATCTCCCAGCAGCTCCCATTGGCCAAAACTGGGGCCCGGGCCCATGCCTTAGCTGCAAGGGAGGCTGGGAAACAGAATGAATGGCTTTCACAGGCGGAGAAGCGCAGCTCGCAAGAGGAGATGGGGAGGGACGGCTGTCATGGAAACCACTGTCTACCCTGGGCCCCATTTCCTAAGCCTTCCCTTTTTACCTCCCCGGCTCCTTCTCAGGGATGTCCAACCCCGAGGTGATCCGGGCGCTGGAACACGGGTACCGGATGCCGCGACCAGAGCACTGCCCCGAGGAGCTCTACAGCATCATGATGCGCTGCTGGAAGAACCGCCCGGAGGAGCGGCCCACCTTCGAGTACATCCAGAGTGTGCTGGATGACTTCTACACGGCCACAGAGAGCCAGTACCAGCAGCAGCCGTGACGGGCGGCACCGGGGCAGAGCCACCGCCCCCCAGGGCCCACTCACCCGCCCCGGGCCCACTCACCCGCCCCGGGCCCACTCTTCCTCGCTCCAGCCAGGTTCTTCACCTGCCAAGTGCAGGGCTGGACTGCACAATGTCTTTTCACTCCAGTGATGCACAATCTGCCATTCTCAGGAGACCCCACGTTGATATTTCTATTGCCAGGGGCTCGGGGAGTCCAGTTACAGCTATGGTTGGGATGGGAAAAGGTTGAAAATAAAGAAATAAATATTTAAATAAAAGATATGGGTGCCTGTCCTTGCAGTGCCTGAGTATCTGTTTGCTTTCTTGCTGTACGAGTCAGAAGAACTCCCCAGCGAGCGAATGCGTGAAGAGGTGCAGAGTTCCACGCTCACTGAAACAGTCACTACCTGCATTCGTGTCCAGAGGCGGCTGTAACAGACTACCACACACTTGGCGGCACAGAACAACACACACAGCCACCTCGCGCTTCCGGAGGCCACAAGTGGGAAGCGGCCGGCAGGGTTTTTCCTCCTTCTCTGCTCACCTTTCCCAGCACCCGCAGCCTGCCCGCACTCTGCACATGGCTCCACACTCTGCCTGCCCGCACTCTGCACATGGCTCCACACTCTGCCTGCACCATGGAATCTCTGACCCACCTGTAAGGAACCTGTCATTACCTCGAACCCACCTGAATAATCCAGAGTCACCTTTCCACCTCGAGAGCCTCGAGCACATTGCCAAATTCCTCTTTCCACAGCAGGTGACGTGTTCATGGGTCCTCAGGGTAAGGACATGTACATCTTGGGGGACGCGTTATTCTTCCAACCATTGCTGTCCGGTTGCCGGGCCTGCCAGGGAGCAAACAAGGACTTCTCATGATCCAAGATGCTCACTCTCCTCCCAGACCATGTTGCTATGAGGGTTGGTTGGTGATTTCCCCCAGGACTGGGGGCTGCCTGAAGCCTGGCATTTCCCACTGCCAAGCAACCATCATGGTTATTAAGGTGGTCTCCACCATTGCAAGAATGCTGGGGACTGGAGATTTGGTTGCATGGGAAGCTGTCGGTGGAGGGCAAGGGAGAGAGAAGACAAGGAGGGGATGGGCATGTCCTACATGTTGTCTCAGCAGACAGTGCCTGATGCTTAGCTTTTGCCACAAGCAACAAGGTAAGAGGTGCACAGTGCCAGGGAGAGAGGCGGAGGATGATACTTTTATGTAAGAGTGTTACTGTAGCCTCTGAGGCATCTACATCATAGAGCCTCACACTGAATTAATTCTGTATCCCTGAGTAGCACAGAGGTCTCATCTAGCTGCCTACTCAGTAATTTCTCTCTGGACCATGTCTGAGTACCTGAGAGCAAAGCCTAGGCTCCTGTGACAGCAATTCGCCCTTGTGACTCATGGTACACGGGATGGCTATTCAGTGATCCACGGGAAAAGCACAAACCCCTGCCACCTTGATGTCGTCTGAGGATATGTGGAACAGATCAAGACCCAACCAAGGGGCCAGTGCTGTGGCGTAGTAGGTTAAGCCTCAGCCTGTGGTGCCAGCATCCCATAGGGCACCAGTTCCGAGTCCCAGCTGCTTCACGTCCCATTCAGCTCCCTGTTAATGTCCTGGGGAAGCAGCGGAAGATGGCCCGAGTGCCTGGGCCCCTGCACCCGCATAGGAGACTCAGAAGAAGCTCCTTGCTCCTGGCTTCGGATTGGCTCAGCTCTAGCCATTGTGACCATTTGGAGAGTGAACAAGCAGATGGAAGACCTCTCTGTCTCTCCCTCTCTCTCTCTCTCACTCTCTGTCTGTAACTCTGTCTCTCAAATAAATAAATAAATCTTAAAAAAGGGCGGGGGGACTCAACCTGTAGGTAGAGCTAAACCCTGCTGAGCCCAGCGTAGGTCAGCTGAGTCCCAGCTGACTTGTGGACATGTGGAGTTACATTCTATGGTTGTTACACAGAACTATTATAGCAATAGCTAACTGAGACCTTATCTCAGGGGAGTCTATTACTATATGGACAAGGTCAAGAGGTCAATTCCCACTCTCCTGATCCTCTAAACCCCATTACCTAACACCCTACTTTATCCCTCCAGTCCCAGGAAACAGAGATGAAAACGGATAAAGAGACAACACCAAAAGCATAATCCATGAAAGAAATAGCTGATAAAGTGAGGCTGGCATTGTGGCACAGTGGTCTGAGCCATAGCCTGCAATGCCAGCATCCCATAAAAGTGCCAATTTGAGTCCCAGCTGCTCCACTTCCAATCCAGCTCCCTGCTTATGCACCTGGAAAAGCAGCAGAAGATAGCCCAAGTGCTTGGCCCCTGTACCCACATGGGAAACCAGGATGGACCTTCTGGCTCCTGGTTTTAGGCTGAACCAACTCTGGCTATTGGCCACTTGGAGAGTGAACCAGCAGATGGAAGATCTCTCTCTCTCTCTCTCTCTCTCTCTCTGCATTTCAAATGAATAAATAAATCTTTTTTAAAGTTAATAAATTGATCTTCATTAAAATTTACACCTCTGTTCTGCAAAGATGCTGTTAAGATGCTGAGAAAACGAGCCTCAGTTTTGGAGAAAATATTTGCAAACATACTCAGTTAACCTTTCGTATCTATGGGGTCTGCATCTGTGGATTCAACAAACCATGGATCAAAAATATTTGAAAAAAAAAAAAACCTTAGTACTAAACTCACACATTTTTTTCTTGTCATCATTGCCTAAGCAATACAGACTGACTTATTTGCATGGCATTCACATTGCACTTGGAGTGGTAAGTAACAGAGATGATTTAGAGCATAGATCCTATGCAAATCTCACACCATTACATTAGGGACTGGAGCACCTGCAGATTTTGGTATGCTTGAGGAGGAGGTGTCCTGGAACCAATCTCCTGAAATACTGAGGAGCCGTAATCAAGCTAATTCATACATCCATCACCTCACATGATTATAATTTTGTGTGTGTGCTAAGAGAACTCAAGGCCAACTCTCTCGGTAAATTTCAAGCAGAGAATACAGTGCAGCTGACGACAGTAATTCTGCTGTACAGTTTACTAAATCTCCATAGCTTCTCCATCCCACAGAACTGAACCTTTGTCCTCCTCAACCAGTACCTTCCACCCCTTCCTCCCCTCCAGTCCCAGAGACCCCCATTCCACTCTGAGATGATGCAGCGTTTGTCTGTCTGTGTCTGACTTAACTTCCCTTAGCATAATGCCCTCCAGATTCAGCCATGTTGTGGCAAATCGTAGGATTTTCATATTTTTTAAGTTGAATAATATTCCACTGTGTATAAGAGCTAAGGAATAATGGAAATAGGATCAGAACCCAAGCTGCTTAGCTGCAGGATTCTGACTTATGTCAGCCAAGGAGACTGGAACGTATCACCCAAGCAGACCAGGCAAACATACAAAGCATGAGCACAGGGAAAACAAAAATACTGAGGAATGATCTGCCGTTGGTGGAGCTTTGCACAGCAAAACTGGTGGGAAACTTCCAGGACCCAAGCTCCAGGAGAAGTGATGGCAAGTCTGGAACCCAGTTCCACCGTCTGTGAGAATCTAGCAAACCTTCTGGCTCTCTCAAGTGTTCTTGCCCTTGGTAATAATATCGGATCTGCTCTTGAGCGTGGGGGTGTGGTCACAAGAGCTGAAGGCTATGTCAGTGATCCACTGCCTGACAAGTCACCCGAACTACAAGTCACCGAACTACAACACCTGGGCCGTTATTTCCCCACGTGGCGCTGATGAGGTTACTCACAAGGCTACGTTTGGCCGGCAATTCAGCGAGAGTTAGATTGTCCCCAACGGCTGTGCTTACATGGAAAGCGCTCAGCTGGAGTTTCCAGAACACCCTGAGGAGCTGCCTGGGCCTCCCTCTCTCCGTGCAGCTCTCCAGCAGGGTAATCAAACTTCTTTACCTCCAATGGAGTGGAAACAGAAGCTGCTACGTCTCTCAACCCATCATGTCCTGATATTCTAAATATAGGACACTGTAAAAATTTAATTTGGGCAATAAGTAAATGATGTATGGTAACTTTGAAATAAATATTATGTCACTGAAATATTCACAAAATTGAAAACTTGGGACTTAATGGGTTAAGGCCCAGACTTAGAACTGAAAGTTAGTTTTCCCACATTCTACTAGTCAAAGCAAGTGATGTGACCAGCCAGTTTCAACAGGAGAAACAGTCTACTCTCTGCAGGAAAAATGTTCCTGCAAACATGGGAGTAGTTGTGGGCAGCTATCTTCACAGAAAATCCACCACAAGGGCGTCCATAGTTGGAGATCAGAGCTCAACTGTCCCCTGCCAAGAGGCAGAATTAGGTAAGACTCTTATGAGGGGGCCGGTGCTGTGGCGTAGCAGGTAAAGCCGCCTTCTGCGGTGCTAGCATCCCATATGAGAGCTGGTTCAAGTCCCGGCTGCCCCACTTCTGATCCAGCTCTCTGCTATGGCCTGGGAAAGCAGAAGACGGCCCAAGTCCTTGGGCCCCTGCACCCTGTGGGAGACCCAGAAGCTCCTGTCTCCTGGCTTTGGATCAGCTAGCTCTGGCTGCCGCAGCCACCTTGGGAATGAACCAGTGGATGGAAGATCTCTCTTTCCCTCTCTGCCTCTGCCTCTTTAATAAATAAATCTTTTTATAAAAAAAGACTCTTATAAACTGTTTTAGCACAATGCTACATGTTGTAGCACACAGCAAACACTGATTATTATTGTTAGTAATCATTGTTCCCTTAACAACCTTTTTTTTAAAAAAATTGATTTATTTATTTGAAAGTCAGAGTTACACAGAGAGAGAAGGAGAGGCAGAGATAGAGAGGTCTTCCATCTATTGGTTCACTCCTATTTGGCTGCAGTGGCCGGAGCTGTGCAGATCCAAAGCCAGGAGCCAGGAGCTTCTTCCAGGTCTCCCACATGGGTGAGGGTCCCAAGGACTTGGGCCATCTTCTACTGCTTTCCCAGGCCATAACAAAGAGCTGGATAGGAAGTGGAGCAGCCAGGACTTGAACTAGCGCCCATATGGGATACCAGCACTGCAGGCAGTGGCCCTACTTGCTAGCCAGCCCCCCTTAACAACCTTTTGAAACACACTAAGACAGCTTAGCCTGGTACTGAATCTAGCTTAAAGCAACATACATACAGCAAGTGACCTTTGAAGTCTTCTCATCTTAGTACTGTGATTCTTTGGGGTCTTTCTATATATATTGGAAACTAAGGCTTAGGAAGTTTGAGAGACTTGTCTCCACTCACACACCCAGCTTCCTAGCACAGGATGAAGGCCACATTCAAAGATGTCTCCCTCCACCCCACATGCAGTTTCCTTCATTGGCTTGATAAACAGAGTGTCCTATTGGGCACCTACCATATGCTTGGAGTACACATAAGGATACAGTGGCTGTGACTTACTGGATACATCCTATGTTGTTAGACGTACACCCTATGTTAGGGACTCCTCATGGTAAGCCTACACTCAAGTACAAAAGCTCCCTTCCCATTATGTAGATAAAAGTGAGGCAGAGCAAGGTTAAATAAAAGCCAACTTCCTACCCTCATAAGAATTAAAGTCCATCAGCTAGTATATAAGATAGTTAAGTAAATAATTAAATACGTAATTACAAATCATTCTCGGAGTGGGGCTGCTTTTGGAGCCCAGGTGCTAACCTCATCCGTCCAAATCGAAGTCGCAGGTAACCCTGGTAACGGGTCGTCCCGCCAATAATAAAGATGGCGCCCACAGAGCCAGCGCGTTTCCACACGCCCCTATGGCCCACAATGCAGCGGGAGAGGGGAGTAGCTTCCGCCAGGAGCTAATATGGTTCCCTTACTTACACAGCCTTCTCTCTTCGCCTAAACAGCCACTTGTACCCACATCAGGCTGCCGAGCTGGGGCTAAGCTTACTATGCCACTCCGCTGACCGCGACCACAGAGTGGACTGAAACCGGGAGATCGCCTCACTGAGTTAAATTCTGTAACCCGGGGAACACCACTTCCGCCGACGTCATCACGGCGACACGTGGATCCAAGATGGCGGTGGCGATGGTGAGTGAAGGAGACTCCGGGAGCCGGAGCTGGAGCAGGGCTTTCCAAAGGGTACCTCGGGACCTTCCGGCGCCCCATGCCTGGCCCAAAGCCACGCCCGGAACCCCTGGCTCAGGTTACCCCTGAGTGGGGTTGCCTCCCAGAAAATCTTCCTCCCGCGGCTGAGCCCCGCCGTCAGGCTTGTCAAGGCCCCGAGTTTTGGGGGAGGCGCCGTTTCGGAGGGAGTCCTCGTCTACTGCCTCCGCCTGTACCCATTCCTACTTTGGTCCCCGCGGCTGCACCCTCCTGCTCCGACTCCTCCAAAGAACTCCCCATTATCTCCACACTCGCTTCTCCCCCTCACATGCAGACCCTGCTCTCCCCGCCTGCCCACCATCCTGACCTGTCGGCGCAAGAATCCGCGCCTGTCACCAGCCTCCCAGCCGGAGCCCTGGCCTCACCTTCGGCCTCAGCTGTCCCGACTGCCACTATCCCAGAGCAAATGCCCTCACCTGTAGCACCCCCGTCTTCCATCCCTCGTTCCCCCCCGCCCCTCCTGTCTTTTCCCAGTTAGCTGTTTCTCTCCTAGGGATCTTTCATCCCACTGCTTCCCAAACTTTACTACGCCTGCGAATCCCGGGGGGGGGGGGGGGGGGGAGGCATGTTATAAATGCAGGCTCCTGAGTCCCACTGCCAGTGCCGGTGCTGTGGTGGTGGCTGGGGATGCCCGGGCATCTGCTCTTGTACAAGCGGTTCAGTGAACCTGCGAACGCCTCTGGCACCTGCGGGCTGCCACTCTCATTCGCTTGTGGAGGGACCAGAACTAACATTGCAGTTGCTTAGTGCAGAGTGGTTTATTTCCTGGGTGCTCCAGCATGTCGCTTCCACAGCAGATAATTCCATTCTGGGAGGAAGTGACGGGGGAGCGTCAGAGGCCAGGAAGTGACATTTGGCTTTAGCAAAGGAAGACTCTTGCTTAAATTCTTGCGTGTTGGTTGTCTCCAAGTCTGTTTCTGGTGACGGGTTTCCCTCCTGTTAACTGACTGGGAACTGGGCTTTCTTGTTCAAGGAAGAATTTCTTATATACAGCTTCAGAGGTCAGGCTGCTGTGGTCTTAGCTGAACCAAGTGTGGGGCAAATCCCCAAAGTGGCGTTTGAAGCCCATTTTTTTCTGTGCCACATTCGGAACAAGGATGGGGTAAGAACGTAACAGGAAGTCACACCCTCTCTTGCCATAGGGAAAAAGTACAATACAGAGAGGTATTTATAACATTGCACTAGGGAATTTTATGCCCGGTTCCGAGGTTTTAAAGAGGTTATAATTTAGCAATGCATGTTTCGTTACACGTTTATTTAATGAACAAATATTTGAATGCCTACTCCGTGCCAGGAACTCGGATATAGTGGTGAATTACAGGGTCAAGGCCTTCCCCTTTGGAGCTTTTGTGAGCAAGTGAATACACGAACGAGATGTCAGAGAGCAGTGAGTGCTGAGAGGACAGCAAGATGAGGGCCAGGGCTTGGGGTGACTGGGTGTTTAGAGAAGGCGCCTCGGGCTGCTGTGAGCAGAGACTTCACTGAGAGTGTTCCACACAGAGGAGGTAGCAGGTGTGAGGGATGGCGCGGGAGAGATTGGAGGGTTTGAGGAACACACACAGGAGGCTGGAGGGGCTGTAGCCTGGGGAGGGCTGGCAGTAGGAGAGGATAATACCGGATGGAACTGGAGAGTGGCCAGAGCAACTGTTTCTAGAAGCATGCCTGTAACTGGGGTGGATGTAGTCTGCAGTGGCTAGTCTCTGGGCTGCATTCTGAACGGACTGCTCTGCCAGGCTGCTTGTCCTGACCACCCCCTCCAGAACAATGCATCAGGGGAGCCAGCTTGTGCTCAGTCCGCAGAGAGGCCGGGGAGAGGGGTGTGGAGTTTAGTCTAAGCACAGAGGCAAGCACAGTGAGTGTTTGTTATGCCACCTGGGCGTATCCCACTGTGCTTCCATTCTGGAAACAGTAACTGATTTCAAGCAACTATGTAGTAGACACAGGGACCCACTGAGGCCAGTGTAGGTGGTGTGCGTGAGAAACTTGATGTTTGGTGTAACAGTGAACAAGGGGTGGGAGCAGGTTTTGTACAGGTATATATGAGTAACAGGTAAACTAGAGTCACAGGAAGGCCTAATTCATCTGTATCGGGCACTTTGACACTGAGGTTGGAACAGACCCACGTGTGGAAATAGCACGTGTGGGCTGTTTCACAAGCATTGGGGGTGGGGTTGTGTAAATGCAATCTGGAGTGTATGGGATTCTGAGATAAGTCTTAAAGAGGAACTGAGCGCGTGGCTTCAGTGGCTGTGGGAATTGCCTGGGTTTTTAGTTTGTTTTTCGGTTTTGAAAGGGTTTTGTGTACAAGTTTAGGTGATGTTCATGGACTCCCTTCCTTCTCTTTCGTTGGAGAATGGCTTTTCCCCAGGGTTAGGCTGCCACCTCCCAGGTCTGGGGGCACAGCGGGTGTTTCTGAACCTGCAGGGCCAGGCTTCTCCCGCTGTAGACAGCTGGTGTAGATAACGTTCTCTGCTTTTCCTGCCTGCCTTCTGCCTTGGAGTTAGACGACAGGGACAGGGACAGGGAAGAGGCATCTGAATTGAGAAGCAGGCTCATGGCACACTTTTTATCGAAAATGTCTCTTGGGACTGTTTTGGTGGCACTTGAGAAATGGTCATTGAGTACGTTAACAGGCATCTTAACAGTCTGGAAACTTCAATTTAGAGAATAAAGCCTTGTAATTCTCTCACAGGTATCTTCATTCACATTGTTTTGATTTGGGTTTGGTTTTTCATATAGCCTAAAAACCATCCGGTGAAAGCGTGTGTTTCAGTATTTGCAAGATTCTGCTGCATTCGCCACTGCCTAGCTCCACAGCATTCCCATCACCCCAGGAAGAAACACTGGGAGGAGCTCCTCACCTCTCCTTCCCCAGCCCCTGCAACCACTGATTGACCTTCTGTCTCAGTCGATTTGCCTCTTTTGGTAATTTTACATAAAGGGAATTTTATAGTATGTGGTCTTTTGTGTTTAGCTTTTTTTTTTTTTTAAGTGTTTGTTTGCAAGTCAGAGACAGACAAACAGCTCTGTCTGCTAGTTCCCTCCGTGAAGGCCCGCAGTGCTGGGTCTGGACTGTGCTGAAGCCAGGTATTGGGAGCTCAGTCCAGGTCTCCCAGGTGAGTGGCAGAGACCATCACCTGCTGACTCCCAGGTGTGCATTGGGAAGAAGCTGGAATCCAGAGCAGGGCCAAGAATCCAGTCACAGTGATACAGGGTGCAGGCACCTCAGCCAGTGGGTTACCCGCTGGGCCACACACCTGCCTTGCACTTCTTTTACTTAGCATATTGTTTTCAGAATTCATTCATGTTGCATGTATGAGTACTTCATTCCTTTGTGTTGCCAAATAAAATTCCATTGTGTGGATACACCGCAGTTTATTTACGCGTATACCAGCTGATGGACGTTTGAGATTGTTTCCACTCTGGGGCTGTTATGTACAAGACAGTGCTGATATGAACATTGGTCTTTGTGTGAACATGTTTTCACTTGTCTTGGGTATATACCCAGGAGGGCACTTGCTGGATCGGTCCATACTGTTTTGAGGTTCCTTGGGTTTTGATCCAGTCCAGAAGGAGAGGAATTGACTGAGTGTTATCAGGTCTCCTTCGGGTGATGGAGGCAGTGCTAAGCGGGGCCCAGCCCCAGTTAGAAGCACAGGAACTGTTTTTAGTTGGAAATTGGTGCCAGCTTTAGGATAGCTGTATGGTGTGGTCCTGGAACAGAAGGCAGGACTCTGCCACTCGTCTTAGACTTAGGAAGTTTCTAGCTTCTCTGGTCCTGGTGCATGTTGAGCATCCTCTTATTCAGAGGAGCACTGGGAGCAGGAGTCAGCAGCTTGGGCTTGGCCCCAGCACTGTCCTGATTCACTCCGTGGCCTAGCTCACATTACTTTGGCTTTGTCGGTGTATTTTCCACATGTGTCATCTGTGAATAAATAAAATTTGGACTTGATGAACTCTAAATTCCAAGCTGAAAATTCTGTGATTTAGAATCCTTTTGCTAGGACCGGTGCTGTGGCACAGCGGGTTAAAGCCCTGGCCTGAAGCGCCAGCATTCCATATGGGCACCGGTTCTAATCCCGGAATGAAGTTCTTGTGTATTTTATGAGCAGGGACAGCCATCAACACGTAGGGGTGAGTGCTTATGGTGATGGGGGAAGGAGTGTGAGGAAGCTGTGAGCGGGAGGGGGCAGTAGACAAAGCACCAATAGCAGGCATTTGGTGGACACTCAACATGCACTCAACTCAAGATGCCGCCTGGTTGGGGCTGGCTTTGTTGTATGGTGGGTAAAGCCACTGCCTGTGACACCAGTGTCCCATACAGGTGCCAGTTCATGTCCTGATTGCGCGTCTTCCGATCCAGCTCTCTGCTATGGCCTGGGATAGCAGTAGAAGATGGCTCAAGTCCTTGGGCCCCTGCACCCACATGGGAGACCCAGAAGAGGCTCCTGACTCCTGGCTTCGGATCGGCGCAGCTCCGGCTGTTGCGGCCATCTGGGGAGTGAGCCAGTGGATGGAAGACCTCTCTCTGTCTTTACCTCTCTCTGTAACTCTGTATTTCAAATAAATAAAATAAATCTTTTTTAAAAAATACTTTTGCTAATATCGAATCATATTTTTTGCCTATCAAATCATATTCTATTTTTTTAAAGATTTATTTTTATTTATTTATTTATTTGAAAGGCAGAGTTACAGAGAGGCAGAGAGAGGTCTTCCATCCGCTGATTCACTCCCCAAATGGCTGCAATTGCTGGGCCAATCCAAAGCCAAGCACCCGGAGCTTCCTCCAGGTCGCAGGTGCAGGCCCAAGAATTTAGGTCGTCTTCCACTGCTCTCCCAGGCAATAGCAGAGAGCTGGATCAGAAGTGGAGCAGCTAGGACTTGAACCAGCGCCCATATGGGATGCCAGCACTGCAGGCAGTGGCTTTACCCACTACGCCACAGCGCCAGCCCCTAACTATTTTTTATATTATCGTAGTCTCTTGTGATCTTCCTAGCTGTTACCTTGGGTTGGTTGTGTTGTCTCTCTGTCCCCTTGAGTGGTCCCACGTGGCACATATTCTGCAAGAGCCACTGGGTCCTTGGAGCTGAGACATGGACACAGGCCTTGATTAGATGTATTTCTCTGAGGAGTCCCACTAAAGGAATGCCCTTAATCCCGTCAGCAAGTAGAAAGTGGGCAGAGACTGCATTAAGTTGTGACTTAATTTCTCTTTTACAACTTGGAGAAAAGTTCCTCTTTGATCTTTGCATTAAAGGAACAGGTTGCAGGTATGTTGGAAAAGGTTGAGTGTTGGGCTCTGAATATTGCCATGGTGGTGGGAAGGACCCGGATGAGCAGGGCCATCTGGCCACAGATGAATGATAGGAGCCAAGCCTGTCCAAACTCGCTTTGACCCCTGAACTTTTTGGCTGACACTAGTGTTTCCCAAGTGAGACCTGGATGGGGGTTCCCAGGACTTCATAAGATTTATTTATTTACTTGAGAGGTAGAGTTACAGACACAGAGAGGGGTATTCCAACTGCTGATTCACTCCCCCAAACAGCCACAATGGCTGGAGCTGCACCAGTCCGAAGCCAGGAGCTTCTTCTGGGTCTCTCATGAGGGTGCAGGGGCCCAAGCGCTTAGGCCAAGCACCCAGGCCATAGCAGATAGCTGGATTGGAAGTAGAACAGCGGGGACTCGAGCTGGTACCCATATAGGATGCCCACACCAAAGGCAGATGCTTAACCTACTACGCCACAGCAGTGGCTCCTGTTCATTGCTTCTTTCCTTCTTCATTGCCTTCCTAATGTGGTTTCTCACCAATGCCTGATGCCTTAAACTGCATTAATTCACCTATGGTCCATGTGGAAAACAGACCAACAAAGCCAGAGTAACTTGAGCCAGGCCACAGATCAGGCCGCTGACTCCTGTTCCAGGGGCTTCTTCCTGGGTCCATTGATGTTCACCCATACATGAGGTCCATTAAGCTGCCATAGTTGGACAGACCTCCCAGGCTTTGAAATCCCATTCTAAGGTTTGGGGTACGAACCTGGGCTAGAATCCCAGTCTGACACTGATTATGTTTGTGACTTTGACCTGGTATAGTGACTTTGGGCAAACTATTTACTTCTTTAAGCTTCACTAATCTTATTTTATACGTATAATAAAATTCACCATTGTAACCATTGTTAAAGGTGCAGTTCAGTGGCACTAAGTGCATTCAGATTCTTGTGTAACCATCACCATCCATCTCCAGAACTTTTCTTACCATCTGTTAGGGAATCGATTTCCTTACTCTTAAAATGGGGACGCTACTCTTCCTCAGAGGGCTGACGTGGTTAAGTAAATGGATGTGAGACCACAGTGCCCAGCACAGAGGTGGTGCTCTGTCACTTTACGCCAGAGTCTGGAATGTTCCTGGGTGAACTCTCCAGGCCTGTTGCTGGCCCAGCGGAGAGTTCTTTAGAAGTACTCAAGAGGAAGAGCGAAGGAGAGTGCGTGCCTGTGCTTGCTGGCCTCAGGATTTCAGTTGCTGGAGCCCGGTTGCCTGTGGATGCTAGTTTCCCCAGGACCTCATGCTGCCTGTTTTTCCTACTCTCAAATACCAGTTTCTGGGTGTTTTGTGTGTCTCTGCACAACAGCTCTTCCAGCGTCCAGGAGCTCTGAAATTAATGCTGCTTTTCTCAGTCTCCAGCAGATGATTTGGTCTTGGGCTTTTTCCTCCCCATCTTGGAGTTCATTAGCTCCACGGGGCTGCTTTAGCTGCCAGTAGCCTTCATTCTGTGCCTGTGTGGCTGAATTCTTAGGGAGCGTTAACTAGTTGGGTAATAGATTTCCGTTAATTGTTGGCAAATTCTGCCCCAAAGCCTTGGTTCTCTGTTCTTTCTCTCTATCCCTCCTTCTTAGTCTGGGGAACAGTTACTGACGGTCTTAAAATGGTGATTGTATCTTTGAGGAAGGAAAAGAAAAATCTAGCCGTCTGTTAAGGAGGTGCTATTGCTTCAAAGGCATGAACAGGAAGCAAAAGGGCCATTCGGATTGGCCAGACTGGATTGCCAGCGGGTGCTAGGGCTCCTGAAAATAAACAGTTAACCCTGGTCACAGAGAAATGTGAGTGAATGAAGTAATTTCAGTTGTCAGGGGGAAGTTCCTATTTTTTTAGAGGAAGTTAATTGTTCACACCTTTCAAACTGGGTGGGGCCAGTGTCCCAGGGCAAGGGGTGCTTTGTAGTCCTGGCAGCCTGTCATTAGGCGGCTGTTTGGCAGAGGCTTTTTTTCTGAATGTGCAGCCCTCAAGAATAAAACACAGAGGGAGGGAAAGACCTTGATTCTTGGGTATCTTGAGCCCTCTAACTTTCCAGGTCACCAGTCCTTTGCCAGTGATGGAGTGTCAGATGACGGCACACGGGCTTCTAGATTGCCATCAGCTTTTGCTTGACTTGATGCCTTTGCAGTCTTGTGACTTGGAAGCCAGTGGAAGCAAAATGATGTCAAATGAGCTGGTACTCACCTCTTAGGACACCCACTCCTTTTATGGCTCTGAACATGCCAAAGGTGCTTGCTGAACACTTACCTCTCTTTTCCTACTGAACTTCATATGGGAGTTCCTGAAGTGATCAATTAAAAATTAAAGAGAGGGGGCCAGCAGTGTGGTGCAGTGGGTTAGAGCTGCGGCCTTCAGCGCCGGCATCTCATATGGGCTCCACTTTGAGTCCCGGCTGCTCCCCTTCCGATCCAGCTCTCTGCTATGGCCTGGGAAAGCAGTAGAAGATGGCCCAAGTCCTTGGACCCCTGCACCCACATGGGAGACCTGGAAGAAGCTCCTGGCTCCTGGCTTTGGATCAGCTCAGCTCTGGCCATTGTGGTCATTTGGGGAGTGAACCAGCAGATGGAAGACCTCTCTCTCTCTCTCTCTCTCTCTCTCTCTCTCTGGCTCTACCTCTGTAACTCTGACTTTCAAATAAATAAAAATAAATCTTTAAAAAAAATTAAAGAGAGATAGGTAGGAATTTTCCAATAAGCAGGTACTTTGTGACTTCCTAGCTTCCTTACAGAAATGAACTCCTTGACAAACATCCTCTGTCATGCTGGCAGGGCTGTTGAGGGGGCAATGAAGTCACAGAATCACAAAAGGTTGGATCAGGCGTCTGATCAGGGACCCAAGCCCCTTCGGTCTTTGATCCTCCTGGAATCATGTCGCATTCTGTGTACTGGAACTTGTTCCAGGTGTCAGGAAATTCTCAGGGGTTCTGACAGTCTCTCTGACGTCAAGAATTGCTGATCTGGGGCCGGTGCTGTAGTGTAGGTTGAGCCTCCGTCTGCAGTGCCGGCATCCCGTATGGGCACCAGTTTGAGTCCTGGCTGTTCCATTTCCAATCCAGCTCCCTTCTAATACGCCTGGGAAGGCAGTGGAAGATGGCCCAAGTACTTAGGCCTCTGCTAGCCATGTGGGAAACCCAGAAGAACATCCTGGCTTCAGCCTGACCCAGTCCCAGCTGTTGTGACCATTTTGGGAGTGAACCAGTGGATGGAAGGTCTCTCTCCCCCCTCCCTTTCTCTCTCTCCCCTCTTTTTCTCCCCTTCTCTCTCTGTATCTCTGCCTTTCAAATAAATCTTAAAAAAAAAAAAAAAAGGCATTTCTGATCTGTTTGGTTACGTACAAAGCTGGAGCCAGAATCCCTCTGCATCGCTCTTGCCTCTCTCCCCCACTTTGTGTATACCTTCAGTGGAACCCATCCACATATTTTCAGAGGCAACTCATTTCTTTCCTGCCTTAAAATATAAATGCATTTCATTTGAATAAGTATGATTCATGTACATGGAAAAAAGTATGCACAGCATGTTGTATATCATATACAGCTTTTATCCATTTTATTTTATTTATTTTTTAAAGATTCTTTTAAAGATTTATTTATTTGATAGAGTTACAGAGAGAGAGAGAGGGAGAGAGAGAGAGGTTTTCCATCCGCTGGTTCACTCCCCAGATGGCTGCAACGGCCAGAGCTGCGCTGATCCGAAGCCAGGAGCTTCTTCTGGGTCTCCCACATGGGTGCAGGGGCCCAAAGACTTGGGCCATCTTGTACTGCTATCTTAAAGATTTATTTATTTATTTATTTGAAAGTCAGAGTTACACAGAGAGAGAAGGAGAGCCAGAGGCAGAGAGAGGTCTTCCATCCTCTGGTTCACTCCCCAATTGGCTGCAATGGCTGGAGCTGTGCAGATCCAAAGCCAGGAGCCAGGAGCTTCTTCCAGGTCTCCCACATGGGTGAGGGTCCCAAGGACTTGGGCCATCTTCTACTGCTTTCCCAGGCCACAGCAGAGAACTGAGTTGGAAGTGGAGCAACCAGGACTCGAACTGGCACCCATATGGGATGCCAGCACTGCAGGCGCTGGCTTTACCTGCTATGCCATAGTGCTGGCCTTTGTCCATTTTAAAAAGTTACAGAATGATAATGCATTTATCAGAGGTATATAGTCTGTTTTAGTATCTCTAACAAATGTTTTTATTTATAAAGTCTTTAAAAACTTTTATAAACATTTTCAATATATACAAAAGTAGCAGAAATAGTATAATCCCTATTACCCATCACCCAGCTTCAACAATTACCATTGTATTTGCCAAGCTCATTTTATCTGCACCTTCTGCTAGCTAGTTATTTTTTTCTTCAAGCTTATTAAGGTATAATTTAATACTGTAAAGTCACCCATTGTGATTATACAGTTCAGTGAGTTTGGGGTATGTGTGTACTTATGCAGCCATCCCCACAGTGGCACGAGGTTTTAGAGCATTTGTATTACCCCAACAAATTCCCTCACAGGCAGAGGATTGATATACTGCTGGTCCCTGTTCCCACAGGCAGCCAGCTGCTGAGCTGCTTCTGTCCCTTTGGAGTTGCCTTTTCTGGATATTTCCTGTAGCTTGAGTCATGCGGTGTATAGACCTTTGCATCTGCCTTCTTTTTCTTAGCACAATATGTTGTTTTATTTTGCTAAGATTTTCTATGTCTTCATTTTCTAAAAACTCCCCAAATGCCTGCAACAGCCAATGGTAGACCAGGCTGAAGCCAGGAGCCTAGAACTCCATCCGGTCTGCAACAGCCAATGCTGGGCCAGGTTGAAGCCAGGAGCCTAGAACTCCATCCGGTCTGCAACAGCCGATGCTGGGCCAGGTTGAAGCCAGGAGCCTAGAACTCCATCGGGTCTTCCCACATAGGGGGCAGGGACCCAGTTACTTCAGCTGTCATGACTGCCTCCCAGGGTGCACATTAGCAGGAAGATAGAATGGGGATGGGGTAAATAGTCAGGACTCAAACCCAGGTACCCTAATGTGGACCAGGATCATCCTCACCTGTGTCTTAACCATTCCTGGTGTATCATCAGCATTCAGTAAATGCTTCCTGCTGTTTTTATCAGTATCATCATTACATTCTCATCATCCTGCAGTGCAGCTCACCTGCCTCAGAAAAATGTCCCTGTTCCTCCACGTTCTGGCTGGATGACCATGGACAAGTTGTTTACACTTCTGGCTCTCAGTTTTACTGTAATGGTCATCTGCAAAATGGTGACAGAAATTTCAAAGTAGCTGTCATTGTGAGGATGGCACAGTCAGTTTCTGTAAGGTGTTCAGCACAAAGCAAAGGGCTCTGTAAATAGTACATGGAAGGAAGGGACTGTGCCCACCAGATCACCTTGTGCTAAGGAGGTGTGATGGCTTATCACTTTTCTGGAGTTGTTTTCCTGCTAGGATGGGTATTGCCCTATTTTTGTGTCTTGTTTGGTGTGTGAGTCTACCTGCTCCATTGGTTTGAGACTTTGAAACAAAAGTGTTTTGAAGTCATTCAGGATTTGTTTTTCGTTTCCCTGCAACCTGAGCTCGCAGGGAGCCCATGAGATCCCCAGGGTGGTGTATCAGCTAAATGTGGAGGATTCTGTTTCAGAAGAAGGTTAGAACAGAAGTTAACTTCTTAGATTTAATTGCCTTGATAATCAGAGGAGATTGTAATCCTCTGCCCTGGCTTCAAATCTCATATCAAGTAGGGCTGAGTGGTCTGGTGCAGGCTTCGTAGAGGAACACAAGTTTTTGATTAGCAAGAAATAATGGTAATTTTACACAGAAGGGTAGTGGCTTACTGATTATTGTTTTCCAGTCTGTGTTCTCTGAAGCGCCCCCTTCTGCCACATGGAGCTATCCTTATAAACAAGGACACAGGGCCCAGCAAAGTTGTTTGCCCAAAGCATACAGCCAAGGTGGGCAGTATAACCCCCATCCTTACCTTGGGATCCAAGCTCAGTGTTTTCCCCTCTATATGACAGCTGCCTCTCTATTGTCATTGTGTAGGTTTAAACCTGGTCAGAATGAAATACAGACCCAGCACCTTCCTTCTGAGAGGTGTGTTCCACCTAGGGCAGCCTTTTATACCTTGACCCTGACTGCACTTTAGGATCACCTGAAGTGGTGCTTCCTAAACTTTAACTTGTGGAATCTGCAGAAAGATAGGTTCTGATTCACTGCTTCTCATCAGGGCCTGGAATTCTGTAGGGCTTTAGTTTTTTATTACTGTTGGTTTGTTTTCAAGATTTGTTTATTTTCTTTATTTGGTAAGGTTGAGTGGAAGAGCGACAGCTCTCCCGTCCACTGGCTCATTCTCCCAGTTGGCCATAACAGGCAGGGCTGGGCCAGGCTGAAGCCAGGAGTCCAGAACGCCATCTGCTGCTTCCCAGCTGCATTAGCAGACAGCTGGATTGGGAGCTGCATAGCTGGGATTTGAACTGATAACTCTGCTATGGGATGCAGGTGTTCCAAGTGGCTTTGCCTGCTATGCCTAGTGCCTGCTTGGAGAGATTCCGTGTCTCTAACACGCTTCCAGACAATAGTGATGCTGCTTTCCACAGATCTCACTTTGAGTAGTGAGGATCTAGAAACTTCAAAAATGCTGATTCCAGGGACCAGTCTCTCAGAGATTCTGTCTTTTAATTGGTCAGGATGACCAGTAATCTGGGACAAAAACCTTAGCACTGGTATTTTTTAAAGCTCCTAGGCTGTTCTGTGTGCATTCGTTTAGAGGGTACGGGGTGACAGATGTTCTCAAGGATTCTCAGCCTAGGTCCTTTGTCAGACGGAAAGGTGGGAGGTATCAAGAACTCCTTAAATGTGAGAATATTTAAAAAAAATCAGATTCTTGGCTGGCACCGCAGCTCACTAGGCTAATCCTCCCCTTGTGGTGCTGGCACCCCGGGTTCTAGTCCCGGTCGGGGCACCGGATTCTGTCTCAGTTGCTCCTCTTCCAGTCCAGCTCTCTGCTGTGGCCCGGGAAGGCAGTGGAGGATGGTCCAAGTGCTTGGCCCTGCACCCTCATGGGAGACCAGTAGGAAGCACTTGGCTCCTGGCTTTGGATCGGCATAGCGCGCCGGCCGTGGCGGCCATTTGGGGGGTGAACCAACGGAAGGAAGACTTTTCTGTCTCTCTCTCACTGTCTATAACTCTCTCTCTCTCTCTCTCTCTCTCTCTCTCTCTTTTACTAACTCTGCTCCTGGCCAAAAAAAAAAAAAAAAAAAAATCAGATTCTTGGGGCTGGCACTGCAGCATAGTGGGTAAAGCCATCATCTGCAGTGCCAGCATCCCATATGGGCACTTTGTGTCCCCGCAGCTCCACCTCCAGTCTGGCTCTCTGTTGTGGCCTGGGAAAGCAGAAGAAGATACAGCAAAGTTTAAAAATCATAGCACTGGGGCTGGCATTGTGGTGTCGTGTATAAGGCTGCCATCTGCAATGCTGGCATCCCGTGTGGGCACCATTTTGAGTCCCAGTTGCTCCACTTCCAATCCAGCTCTCTGCTAATGTGTCTGGGAAAGCAGGAGAGGAAGGCCCAAGTACTTGGGCCCCTGCACCCACATGGGAGCCCCGGAAGAAGTTCTTGGTTCTTGGCTTTGGACCAGCCCAGATCCGGCCGTTGCAGCCATTTGGGGGGTGAACCAGAGGATGGAAGGTCTCTCTCTTCTCTTTCCTCTCTCCTCTCTCCTCCTCCCCCACTCTCTTCCTCCATCCCTCTCTCCCCCTCTCCTTCGCTCCCTCCCTCTCTTTGTAACTCTGCCTTTCAAATAAATAATTTTTTAAAAAAAGTTTAAAGAAAAGGAGTCATAGTGTTCCACTCATGTGTGAATGTTTCGGATTTTTATCATCAGAGGTTAGTGGTGCTTCCTTTAGTAAGGATTTATTGGGTACCTCTATCAACAAAGCTAAGTAAGCGATTAGTACAGGTGGGGAAATAGCATAGCAGGTATGTAAACAGCCACAACTCAGTACGCAAAGTGCTGTAGTGGGGCCTTAAACAAGCACAGACTAAAGTATTTGTCAGACAATTTAAGCAACAGTTTTCAAACATGACAGGTATGAACGTTTACTCGTGTACTAGATAATGTTTTCATTCTCTTGCTTCCAGTATTGTCAATCACTTAGTACCTTGAAAAGGCAGGAGGGAAGAGAATACTTCCCCCTGTGAGTGTCCAAGGGGTTCTTGAAGGAAGAAGCATTGCACCCGGACCTGGAAAATGTAGGTAGGACTTGCACAAGGCAGGTCAGGTGTCAAAAAACAACCTGAACAAGTCTGCTTACAGGGACCACCTCTGTGTCTCCTCTGAGCTCCTGTTTTTCCTACTTACATCTAAACTTTAAAACATCCCCACTCAAGAAATATATCGTCATTTTTAATGACTACTTAAATGAATAAATAAATATAACCTATGCCACTAGTACTGAGCATCTTACTATTAAACAGTGAACTATTTCAGGACTTTAAATAATGCCATTGTGAACGCAGTTTCGTGTATATTTTGATATGCTTGCCATATTTTTCTTAACATGACTACAAAGTAGAATGACAGGGTCAAAGACTGCACTTGTAGGAAGGGCCTTATTTTTTTCTTTTAAAAATTTGTAAGGGACTTGCCTGGCATAGCAGGAATGCCTGTAACACCAGCATTCTATATGGGCAGTGGTTCATGTTCTAGCTGTTCTACTTCCAATCCACCTCCCTGCTTAAGTGCCTGGGAAAGCAGCTAAAGATGACGCAGGTACTTGGGCCCCTGCCACTCACGTGGGAGACCCAGACAAAGCTCCTGGCTCCTGGTTTTGGCCCAGCTCATCCCTGGCCATTGTAGCCATTTGGGGATGGAAGATCTCCCTTTATCTCTCTCTCCTCCCCCCCCCCCCCGCCCTCTCTCTCTGTAACTCTGCCCTTCAAATAAATTAAATATTTTTTTAAAAATTTAATTTATTTGTCTGAGAGAGGAGAGCTCTCAACCACTGGTTCACTTCCCTTACCCACAGTGGTCAGGACTGGGGCTATGCCAGAGGCAGGAACTTAATCCAGATCACCCATGTAGGTGGCAGGGACCCAATTACTTGAACTATCACTGGCTGCCTCCCAGGCTGTACATTAGCAGGAAGCTGGAATTGGGAGCAGAGCTGGTACTTAAACCCAGGTACTTTGATATCCATCAGCATCTGAACCACTCAGCCAAACACTCACCCTTGGGAGGCCCTTTTTTTTTTTTTTTTTTTTTTTGACAGGCAGAGTGGACAGTGAGAGAGAGAGACAGAGAGAAAGGTCTTCCTTTTGCCGTTGGTTCACCCTCCAATGGCCGCCGCGGCCGGTGCACTGCACTGATCCGATGACAGGAGCCAGGTACTATCCTGGTCTCCCATGGGGTGCAGGGCCCAAGCACTTGGGCCATCCTCCACTGCACTCCCTGGCCACAGCAGAGAGCTGGCCTGGAAGAGGGGCAACCGGGACAGAATCCGGCACCCCAACCGAGACTAGAACCCGGTGTGCCGGCGCCACAAGGCAGAGGATTAGCCTAGTGAGCCGCGGCGCTGGCTGGGAGGCTTTTTAATACACAGACCAACCTGCCTCTCAGAAGTGATTCATGGAGTGGCCAGGCAGCCCAGCTCCGCGAAGGCTCTCAGCGCGCCGCGGCACGCAGGCACCCGGCATGCGCCCTCCGCGCCGCCAGGATGCCCAAGAGGAAGGTCAGCTCTGACGAGGGGGCGGCCAAGGAGGAGCCCAAGAGGAGGTCGGCGCGCTTGTCAGTGAAGCCGGCCCCCACGAAGGTGGAAGCGAAGCCCAAGAAGGCCGCCGGGAAGGATAAGTCATCAGACAAGAAAGTGCAAGCAAAGGGGAAGAGAGGAGCAAAGGGAAAACAGGCCGAGGTGGCTAACCAAGAAGCTAAAGAAGACCTGCCTGCAGAAAACGGACAGACGAAAAACGAGGAGAGTCCAGCCTCTGATGAAGCAGAAGAGAAAGAAGCCAAGTCTGATTAATACCGTGACACATATCAGTGGTCCCTGTCTCCCTTCTTGTACAATCCAGAGGAATATTTTTATCAACTATTTTGTAAATGCAAGTTTTTTAGTAGCTCTAGAAACATTTTTAAGAAGGAGGGAAGCCCACCTCATGCCATTTTTTAAGTGTAAATGATTTTTTTTAAGAGGTGAAATCATTTGCTGGTTGTTTATTTTTTGGTACAACCAGAAAATAGTGGCATGTTGAATTCTGGGAGGCTTTGACTGTCTTGGATGTCAGCTTAACATTCCATAGGTGGGGGTGGTTTTTATATCCTACAGTACAGCGCATACTAAATGGCAATTTGGAGTCTCAATTGTGCATTTAATCTGTCTTGAATATTTTCAGTTACTTCTCCCATGTTTTGTAGAATTGTTTCCTACAGAAAACCACTCCTAGTTCTGTCAGAACCATGTGCACTCTGTAACATCTTTGGTTGTGGTAGTCCAGTTTTCCTAATGATTTTGTTAATGTGCCATGAAAGATTGAAAATTTGAGTGTCGTGTATATGCTATTATATTGTGAATGGGTGGGATTTATGTAACAGCAACATTTGAAGATACTTGTACTTGATAGCCTCTTAAGGAAGAGTTGCCTCCAGATTTGAAGCTGGAAAGTCACTGGAATAACTTTTAAAAAATGAATGACAATTCATGGCTTTTTAGATTTTTGGTACGTATGTTAAGAATTGTGTACAAATTAAAATGTATGTGCTGATTCTCAACACCAATAAAATCTCAATTATGGACAAAAAAAAAAAAAAGAAGTGATTCATAGCCGGCGCCATGGCAGGGTCCCATGCACTTGGGCCATCTTCCCCAGCTTTTCCCAGGCCATTAGCAGGGAGCTGGCTCAGAAGTGGAGCAGCTGGGACTCAAACTTGTACTAATATGGTTGCTGGCATCGCAGGTAGCAGCTTTACCCACTACACCACAGTACTGGCCTCAAGGATTATCTGGTTTTCTAGATTATTTTTCAAAACGTCAGGGTTGATATTTCCCCCCTAGACTTTTGGAATTATCATACCAACAATGCAGGATTTGTCTCTTATTTGGAGTATCTAGAACATTGGAATGGAGGAGAATTAGAGGAAAGAGGGCAGGGTTTGTTGTTCTCGCGTGAAGCCCTCGCAGTCTAGCAGTTGACAGAGGAGTGTTAGCAGAGGGTTCCCAGAAGCAGGTCCCGACTCTTCAGATGACTGGTCAAGTGAGGAGGTTCTCTAACGGAGAGGAAATCAGATGCTGTCACTGAGCACAGTCAGGCTTTCCATTGCTGTCCAAATGAAAGGAGGAAAAGCTCCTTGGTGGTCGTGTGTGGAAGGGCGTCCCATAGTGTAGAGCCTTCCCTCGGGCGTGCAGGAACGTCTGAGGAGGGCTTTCCAAGGAAGTGGTCAGAAGCCCTGGAGAGCTGGAGGGGGCAGAACTGTTTCTCATTTGCAGTGTTTGAACTATTGACTATGTACACTTCATTGTTTCAAAAAATTTTGAGCTGTTTTTTTTTAATATTTTATTTTATTTATTTGAAAAGGTTACAGAGAGAGGCAGGTAGAGAGAAATGTCTTCCATCTACCTGTTCACTCCTCAAATGACTAAAATAGCTGGAGCTGAGCTGATGCGAAGCCAGGAACCAGGAGCTTTTTCCTGGTCTCCCATGTGGGTGTAGGGGCCTAAGCACTTGGGTCGTCTTCTACTGCTTTCCCAGATGCATCAGCAGGGAGCTGGATGGGAAGTGGAGCAGCCAGGACTCAAACCGGCACCCATATGAGAAGCCAATGCTGCAGGCCAAGGCTTTAACCCGTTGCACCACAGCGCCAGACCCAAGCTGGTGTTTTTTAAAAAGCCTTACTTGTCCATGGCTATGTAACATGTTAACATTAGGAGAAACTGGGTGAAAGGTATATAGGATCTTGGTTGTATCTTTGCAAGTCTTTTGCAAATCCAGATTCACTTAAAAATAAAAAGATTAAGTGTAAAAGACTAAAGGGAAAAAATGTCTTCCTGTAAGGAATCCTTCCCCGTGAGGCAATTTTCTACCTTCTAATCTTGTCTCCTTCCTTCCTTCCTTCCTTCCTTCCTTCCTTCCTTCCTTCCTTCCTTCCTTCCTTCCTTCCTTCCTCTTTCTCTCCCTTCCTTCCTTTTCTTTTTCTTTCTTTCTCTCTCTCTCTCCCTTCCTTCTGTCCTTCCTCCCTTCCTTTTTTCTTTCTTTCTTTCTTTCTTTCTTTCTTTCTTTCTTTCTTTCCTTCTTTCGTTCGTTCTTTCTCTCTGTCTCTCGGTCTATCGATCGTTTTTTGGTTTTTTTTTTTTATTGGGGGAGATGGAGAGTTCCCATCTGCCAGTTCACTCCTCAAATGCCTGCAACAACTTGGGCTGGGGCCAGGAGCACGAACTCAGTTCTGATCTCCTCTCCCACAAGGGTGACAGGAACCTAATGATTTGAGTTGCCTCCCAGCATCTGCGTTAGCAGGAAGCTGGAGTCAGGAGCCAGAGCCAGGAACTGGAGCCAGGCACTCCACTGTGGGAGACAGCCCTCTTAGCCGCTAGGCCAAATGGCCGTTCCAAAGCCAGTATCAGTTTGGAGAAGGCTCATAGGAAAAAATATTGGTGACACAGGAGCTTCCTGACCATGAGCGTGTTGCTATAAAGAGAAATGGGCGTTAATGCATTACTGTGGAGCTTTATTTCCTCCTAGCGATACGCTGTGAAGTGGTTAAAAGAACAGTGATCCAGAAGGGAGGGGATGTGGCTGCTGTGTGGCAGCCTTCCATGTTGCCCAGATGTTAATTACTTGACCCATTTTGTGACTCATTTCTGAAAGTGCAGAATTGTTGCCTTGTAGAACTCTTGAGGACACTGGGGAGGCAGCATTTAAAGGTAGCTCAGGCTTCTCAGCTGGGAGTGACACTAGGTCTGTTGAAACAGCAGGTGGTGTGACTTGCTCTACCCCCTACAGGATGTTCATTTCTTCTCCCCGGTTCCAATTGTGGCTCTCTTCTCCTGAGCAGGATTGGTTGCCGTGGTCCTTGCTGCTTCTCTCGCTCATGTGTGAAACAAGCGCCTTCTATGTTCCTGGGGTTGCACCAATCAACTTCCATCAGAATGATCCTGTAGAAATCAAGGTAAGTGTGCCCTAGGCAGTTGGAGTCTCTGTTAGGCAGCCTGGCTGGAGGACCATGGTGAACTGTTTATTCCATCCTGTGGTTGCAGGAAGCAGTTGTGCCAGTTACCCTGGGACAAGGAGGGTTCATTGCACGTGTTACAGGCTGAAGTATAGCACTCTTGGGAAACCCAGAGTTCCAGGAACTTGGCCTCTGCTTCTTCATCTTTCTGTGCTGCTAGCTGTCTGCACCTCTCCTGTGGGGATGTGTCCTTGCTCCCCGTTCTGGTCCTTTCTGTATATGTGTGCATGTACATCTCCGTCTTCTCTCACTTTTGCTGTCTGCTGTTCCGGGGTGGGTGAGTGGGGGGGTGTGTGTGTGCGCGTCCATCTCTTTTTGTGTCTCTGTCTCGCTCCATTTGCCTCCCTCTTTCATGTACTCCATTCTCCTCTCTGTTACCAGCATTCTATGCATAACTCATAGCATCTGCTCATATTGTTTGTGTTGTAAGCATCTCTCTTCCTTGGCAGTCAGACATGCGAGCTGCAGGAACCATAATTAAAATAGCATTTACTGGAGTTATTTGTGTGCCAGGCATTATGCATGGCTTGGCTCATGATGCCCCCAAGAATCCTCTAAGACAAAATCTGTATCTGTGTTTTAATGAGGGCTTCTTGTGAATTTAATGGATAAGGGAACTGAGGCCCAGGGAAGTGAACCGAGTTGCCCAAGGTCCCACCTTGAGGAAGACGTCGGGTTAGGGCAGAGCCCCATCTCTTTCCCGCTGCGGTGCCTTTCCTTCCATTGCCTCTGCCCAGGCGCCCTCAGAACCACTTGTGGCAACATATGTCGAATTCGGTGTGCTTTTAAATCTGCAGCACGTTCTAAAACTAAGGAAATGCGAAGTAACTCAGAACTGTCAGCAGTACACTCAAGTGGTGTGCTACAGTTTTATCTGCCACAATTAGTTTGCCTGTTGGGTAGTATTACCAAGTATGCTAAAACTATGGGGCAACAGGGAGCATTATTGGATTAGTCCCCTTGCTGTGTGCTGGGCTGAGGAATAACCGACTCTCTTTCCACCAGGCTGTGAAGCTTACCAGCTCTCGAACCCAACTCCCTTATGAATACTACTCATTGCCCTTCTGCCAGCCCAGCAAAATAACCTACAAGGCAGAGAATCTGGGTAAGTCCCTCTCTCAGACTGCTTCAGCCTGCCTCAAAAGGGGACCCAGCGTGGTTTTCATCATGATAGCAGTTAACCCTTATCTAGCACCTACTATGTGCTGTACACATGATTCCCTGTAGTTACATGCCTGCTAACTTACTTAACCTCAAGGTCACCCTGGAGAGGTCATTACTGTGTTGATTCCCATCTTGCAGGTGAAATGACTTGCCCATAGTTGTACTGTTAGTTAATGGCTGTGCTGGGCTTTGAAGGAACACATGGCTTCTACTCTGGCCTGCTCCTCCTTGATTTCTAGATACCCTCTTCTCTCTTGAGGCTTTTGTTAACCTGCCCTGCTTTTCATTGTAAGAGCAAGTGATCGCTTCTGCTTCAAAGCAAGCAGAGACAGCACTGTACTGGTTAAGCTGTGCAAGGTTTGCCTCAGATGATGTGAGAAGCACCCAGCGCAGTGTCTGGCACAAGTGTTCCGTAAATAGGAGCCATTTTAATTTAGATTCTGCACTTGGCAGAGTTCCAGACAGAAAGGCATCTGAAGGCATCTGTTCGGAGCACAGTTATTGATGCTTCTGCTCTGCTTCTCTCTATTAAGTCATGAAGATAGAAGCATGGGAAGAAACCCTCCCTGACCTCAAGAAACGATTCCTCCTCTCTCATACCTGGAGAAGAGAAGTGGCTCTTCTGTGTCAGAGAAGGCTAACATGTTTCTGGAATTCTTAACCAACAGTTCTATCTACTGCCAGATACTAGGGGTACTGGACCAGATGGAGGCAGTTCCTTGGAGCTAGTTTAACCAGAAGCAGGCAGGTCTGAGTCTTGTCCTGTGGTTTTGAATATACATTGGCCTTAGAGCCTGGGCTGGCTCATACTGATAGTCCGGGCTCCTCCTCCTGCCTACCATTATCCTTCTTTCCACCCCATGCCGAGCTCCAGCCACCTTGTCTCTGCCTGGGTGCCTGACCACTTGGTCCCAGGACCCTAACACCAGGCCCCTCGCCAGCTGCTCCGCTCTTCCTGTGGGACCTGGTGTGGGTTCTTTGCAGCCCCAGGCTCTGCTGTTAGGCACACCTCAGTGTGCTACTGGATGACCTTAACCTCCCTTTACCTCTGTATTCCTGCCTCATGGAAACAGACTTCTGTGTACAGAAGTTACCCTGCCCTGTTTTCCCCTTCTGTCTTTGTGAAGTGCCTCCCTTCATGGCCTGGGGGCCCTTGGGCTGGCAGGAACATGTGTGACATCCCTTCCTCTTCTCAGCTCCTGGCCAGCACCTGGCACTTAGTAAGCATCCAGTAAAGAATAGCGTACCACCTGAGGGAAGCAGAGACACCCAGACTAGAGGCCTTCTGGGTTGCAAGCCTTTTGTCTTCATCATCACCCTTACCATTGCTGTCAACGTGTAGAGGGTTGTGCTTCAACCCTGTGAGCAGAGTCTCATTATAGATAAGCAAGTGAACCACAAGGAGGTGAAGTCGCTTGCCTGAGTCCGTCACTGAGCAGGTGCCAGTACCCCAGGAACTTTGGCTGCAGGGTCTGTATCCTTCACACTACATCTGTCACTCTCTTCCTCGATGTTTATAGCAACTCTGCAAGCCTAGTGATTGCCCTCGTTTCAGAGCTGAAGAGCAGCAGCTTCAAAGATTTCAAAGACCTGATCAGGGGCACGTGACCAGTAGGTGGAGAAAGTGAGGGTTTTACCCAGGTTCTTTGATTCTAAAACCAGAGTTCTTTCTGTTGTCCCAGGCTAACATCTGCAGAAAGGCTCATTTGGGCTGTGTGCACATCACCGTCCCATCAGTGGCAATTCCTGTCATGGTGTATATGTTGGAGCAGCTGTGGCAGATGTCTTAGAGGGTTCACCTTCATAGCTTACAGCTTCTTGTGAAAAGGAATAATTCCACATTAACAATGAGCTACTCCAGACCAGAATGTATGTGCCCTCTTTCCTGGTTTAATTTTAGCTTCTCAGTATCCAGAAGTGATTGCACCTTACTTGGTCTGCAGCCTGTTCCTCTGTCCCTGTAGTTCTTTCTGTCCTCAGGCAAGGTCCTTGTTCATCTGGAAGGAAGTGGGCAGTAGGATGTGGTGGAGATAAATGAACCCCAGAGATTAGCACTACAACAGTGTCTTCATGATTGGGGGCAAGTCACTGACCCTCTCTGCTCCTTGGCTTCTAATCATTAAAGCACTGATTCACAGTGAGCCATACAGATGTCCTGTTGATGGCCTTACTGTCTACTCATCAATGCAGCCATGGATTTTGCAAGCTTGCATGCATTTCCGGGCTTCCAAAATGAGGTAGAGTGGGGAGAGGACTTCATGCAGGCCCCACTTCACCTTCTCCTTCCTGGTGGCCTCTCGTACACCTGAGGCATCACTTGGCAGGGCGCAACTCTGGAGTAGTGTAGCTTGCCCTTACCACTTGCCATTTATAAGCCAACATCTCTGTCCTCACCTCTCCTCTCAACCTTAATTCTTTTTTTCTTATTAAAGATTTATTTTTATTTTTTGAGTTTTTTTTTTAAGATATATTATTTTATTTATTTGAAAGGCAGAGTTAGAGATTGAGAGGGAGAGAGAGCTTCACTCTACTAGTTTACTCCTCAGATGGCAAGAGCCAGGGCTGGGCCAGGCTGAAGCCAGGAGCCTGGAACTCCATCTGGCTCTTCCACATGGGTGGCTGAGACCCTGGTACTTGGCTGCTGCTTTCCCAGGTGCATAAGCAGGTAGCTCTATCAGAAGTGGAGCAACTAGGACTCTAGCCGACCCTGTGCTCATATGGGATGCTGGCATCTCTAACAGCTTACTTAACAGACCCAAACTGAAAATGGGCTTCTATCTAAATTTTTTCTTCTAGTTGTTTTTCCACCTAGAACCTGATTCTAGAAACCTCATAATTTTCCTAACATGCACTACTCCTCATGTATCACTAGTATCCAGTGAAAACCAGCTCCCCTAGATTTCACCTTGTCAGTAGCTCCTAGTTCAGGGTGCTGTTCACCTGCCCAAACCCTTGGTTCCAGTCACCACACCACCCATTTGCATCCCTCCAGCCAGTTACCTGCAGCCTCTGTTTTCTACCAAAACAGCCAGAGTGATGTTTTTCTCTAACTAGAATCAGATAACATCTCCCATCTATGTTAGAAACTCCTTATTGGGTTCTGTCTTTAAAGATAAAGGTCATACTGTGTGTGGCCCACATACCCCCTGAGGTCCAGGTCTGGCCCATCTCTCCAGTTTACCCCAGTCACTCTTCTCCAGGCTTTCTGCACTGCAGCCACACAGGTCTCTCAAGTTCATGACACTTCCCCCAGCCCCAAGGGTCCTGTCATGTGTCACTTAATGATGGAATACATTCTGAGAAATGCAGCACGTGGGAGCTGGCGCTGTGGCGTAGTGGATTAAGTTGCTGTCCGTGGCACTGGCATCCCATATGGGTGCCAGTCTGAGTCCCAGCTGTTCCACTTATGATCCAACTCCCTGCTAATGCACCAGGGAAAGCAGTAGAAGATGGTCCAAGTCCTTGGGCCCCTGTACCAACATTGGGGACCCAGAAAAAGCTCCTGGCTTCAGATTGGCCTAGTGGCCATTTGGGGAGTGAACCAGCAGATGGAAAATATCTCTCTCTGTCTCTCTGTAATTCTACCTTACAAGTAAATAAATCATTTTTTAAAGATTTATTTTATTTATTTTGAAAGACAGAGTTACAGAGAGAGGTAGAGACAGAGAGAGGTCTTCTATCTGCTGGTTCACTCCCCAGATGGATGCTACATCTTCTACTGCTTTCCCAGACCATAGCAGAGAGCTGGATGGGAAGAGGAGCAGCCAGGACCAGAACCAGCACCCATGTGGGATGCCGGTGCTTCAGGCCAGGGCTTTAACCCGCTGCGCCACAGCGCCGGCCCCATAAATAAATCTTTAAAAAAAAAAAATGTGTTATGTGGACATCATTGGGTGCCCATACACACACCAAGACGCCTGTGACATCATGAGGCAGTATAATCTAATGGGAGCATCATAATATAAGCAGTTCATTGTTGACTGAAATGTTATGTGGCACATTGACTATACTTTGCTTTTGTCTAGAATATTCTTCCCTTATCTCTTTGGTTAACTTCTCTCCTCCTTTGGAGTTCACTTCAAGCACCACTTCCTCAGGAACACCTTCCTAGACTTACTCCCCCATGTCTACAGCATGTTATACAACATACTCTCTTTGTACTGATTATTTAATCAAAATCTGCCTTACCACTAGACCATATGCTCTATGAGTGTGCCTGTTCAGCGTTGTATCCTCAGGGCCTGGTGTGTAGGCAGTACCTAGTGCTTGTTTATGAACGGACGGATGTTCATAAGTACAACTTTAGGAATATAGTTATTCTTCCCACCATATTAGCCCTCCCACCTACACTCCCACCCCTCCTCCTCCTCCCTCTCCCTTTGCCAGTCCCATTCTCCATTAAGATTCACTTTCAATTAACTTTGGACACAGAAAACCAACTCTATACTAAGTAAAGGCTTCAATAATTTGCACACACACAAAACTGAGAACTAGTTTTGCAGTTAACTCTCAGTACAACTCATTGAGGACAGAGGTCCTGCATGAGGAGTTAGTATACAGTGACTCTTGTTAACTTATCAAGTAATACTCTTATGTATGACATCAGTGACCACTTGAGGCTCTTGAAATGAGCCTTTTAAGTCCATAATCTCTGTCAGTATTTGGACAAGGCCATAAGCAAAGTGGAAGTTCTCTCTTCCCTTTAGATAAAAGTTATTCTTTAGAGGCCACTTCTTTGCACTGGGATGTCTCTCACAGAGATCCTTCATGTAGAACATTTTTTGCCACAATGTCTTGGTTTTCCATGCCTGAAACGCTCTCTTGGGTTTTTCAGCCAGACCAGGAAGCCTTAAGGGCTGATTCTGAGGTCAGAGTGTTACTTTTTTTTTTTTTTTTTTTTTTTTGACAGGCAGAGTGGACAGTGAGAGAGACAGAGAGAAAGGTCTTCCTTTGCCGTTGGTTCACTCTCCAATGGCCTCCGCGGCCGGCACACTGCACTGATCCGAAAGCAGGAGCCAGGTGCTTCTCCTGGTCTCCCATGGGGTGCAGGGCCCAAGCACTTGGGCTGTCCTCCACTGCATTCCCTGGCCACAGCAGAGAGCTGGCCTGGAAGAGGGGCAACCGGGACAGAATCTGGCACCCCGACCGGGACTAGGGGGTGCCTAGGGCTTTAACCCGCCGCAAGGTGTGCCGGCGCCGCAAGGCGGAGGATTAGCCTGTTGAGCCTCGGTGCCGGCTCAGAGTGTTACTTAAAGCGATTGTCATTCTATGAGTCTGCTGTGTAGGTATTCTCTCCTTTTGAATTCTATTTATTATTATTACAGTACTTGATACTATTTATATGATCTCTTTAATGCCTAATCCTACCTATATATTCACTTTAACACTTAATATGGTCACTTTAACAATTAAGATGGCATTTTTATCACCAAGTTTAATGGGATTTGGAGTCCCATGACAAGTTTTTAAATTGTACCCTTAGAAGTAAGTCTATAGGAATGTATGCAGAACAATACAGCTTTACAGTTACAAACTTCCTCCTCCCTCTCTTATTCCCATTATTATTTTTTAATGAGATCTATTTTCAATTGACTTTATACAGATATGATTAACTCTATGTTAAGTAAAGAGTTCAACAAATAGTATGGAAGGAAAAAAAGATGAAAAAAAAAAGAAAACGAAACCGTTCCTTGATAGTCAAGACAAGGGCAGCTCAAGTCATCCCTTGTCGAAGTGTCAATTTCACTAATACAGATTTCGTTTTAGGTGCTCTATTAGTTCTCAGATCAGGGAGAACATAGGGTACTTTTCCCTTTAGGACTGGCTTATTTCACTAAGTATGATGTTTTCCAGATGCATCTGTTTTGTTGCAAATGATTTCCTTTTTTTTTTTTTTTTTTTACTGCTGTGTAGTATTCCATAATACATATCTCATAATTTCTCTATCCAGTCTTTGGTTGATGAGCATTTAGGTTGATTCCATGTCTTAGCTATTGTAAATTGAGCTGCAATAAACATGGAGGTGCAAATAGCTGTTTGGTTTACTGATTCAGTTGCTCTTGGGTAAATTCCCAGGAGTGGGATGGCTGGGTCTTATGGTAGGTCTATATTCAGATTTTTGAGATATCTAAACTGTCTTCCATAGTGGCTTTACCAGTTTACATTCCCACCAACAGTGTATTAGGGTACCTTTCTACCCACATGGCTGGGTCTTAGTCCACCCGAACGAGGATGGACTGGGTCCGAAGAAAGGCAAGTGTGCCACTCGCCCGTTCCCCAGCCTCCCGATACCAGAGACAGTCAGACGCAGCAGGGAGTCATGTCAAGCAAGCAAAAACTTGGTTTATTGCACATGTAGCAGAGCCTTTTAAAGCACAAGACCGCAGGATTACTGGGGCAGGGCATAAGGACCAACCAGTTACTTAAAAGGTCATTTTACAGGGTGACTTTTTACAGGACCAGCCAAATGTTTGTACACTCATCATCAGTTGTCACCTCCCCTGATGCTGCGTGGCCAGTCAGCTTTGATGGTAAATGGCTTTTGGTACCGCCCACCTTACTTCCTTTGGGTGCCATCTTTGAATTGCCACGTGTGCCTAATTTCCCTGCAGGCGCCATCTTTGAATTGCCTCCTGTGCCTAATTTCCCCACACCCACATCCTTGCCAGCATTTGTTGTTTGTTGATTTCTATATGAAAGCCATTCTAACTGGGATGAGGTAAAAGTTCATTGTGATTTTGATTTGCATTTCCCTGACAGCTAGTGATCTTAAACATTTTTTCATGTGTCTGTTAGCCATTTGGATTTCCTCTTTTGAAAAATGCCTGTTTAAATCCTTTGCCCATCTCTTAACTGGGTTGTTTGTTTTGTTGCTGTGGAGTTTCTTGATCTCTTTGTAGATTCTGGTTAATCCTTTATCAATTGCATAGTTTGCAAATAATTTCTCCCATTCTGTCGGTTGCCTCTTCACTTTGCTGAGTGTTTCTTTTGCTGTACAGAAACTTCTCGATTTGAAGTATTCCCATTTGTTAATTTTGGCTCTGACTGCCTGTGCCTCTGGGTTCTTTTTTTTTTTTTTTTTTTGACAGGCAGAGTGGACAGTGAGAGAGACAGAAAGAAAGGTCTTCCTTTTGCCGTTGGTTCACCCTCCAACGGCCACCACGGCTGGTGCGCTGCGGCCGGCGCGCTGCACTGATCCAAAGGCAGGAGCCAGGTGCTTCTCCTGGTCTCCCATGGGGTGCAGGGCCCAAGCACTTGGGCCATCCTCCACTGCACTCCCTGGCCACATCAGGGAGCTGGCCTGGAAGAGGGGCAGCCGGGACAGAATCCGGCGCCTCTGGGGTCTTTTCTAAGAACTCTTTGCTTGTGCTAATGTCTTGTTGGATTTCTCTGATGTTCTCTAATAATTCGATGATGTTGGGTCGTAGATTTAGATCTTTAATCCATGTTGAGTGGATTTTTGTGTAAGGTGTAAGGTAGGGGTCTTGCTTCATACTTCTGCATGTGGAAATCCAGTTTTCCCAGCACTGTTTGTTGAAGAGACTATCCTTGCTCCAGGAATTGGTTTTAGCTCCTTGGTCAAATATAAATTGGTTGTAGATGTTTGGATTGATTTCTGGTGTTTCTGTTCTGTTCCATTGGCCTGTCCATCTATTTTTGTACCAGTACCAGGCTGTTTTGATTATTACTGCCTTGTGGTATGTCTTGAAGTCTGGTATTGTGATGCCTCCAGCTTTGTTTTTGTTTATAAGATTGCCTTAGCTATTTGGGGTCTCATGTGGCTCCATATGAATTTCAGCATCATTTTTTCTAGATCTGAGAAGAATGTCTTTGGTATTTTGATTGGTATCACGTTGAATCTGTGATTCCATTCAGAAGAATGGATATTTTGATATTATTCTTCCAATCCATGAATATGGAAGATTTTTTTCATTTTTTTGTATTTTTCTTCTGTTTCTTTCTTTAATGTTTTGTAATTCTCATTGTAGAGATCTTTGACTTCCTTGGTTAAGTTTATTTCAAGGTATCTTAGAAGTTCTTTCTCAGCTGTGGCATTGTCTGTGTATACAAAGGCTTTTGATTTTTGTATATTGACTTTATATCCTGCTACTTTTCCAAACTCTTCTATGAGTTCCAGTAGTCTCTTAGTGGAGTCTTTTGGATCCCCTATATATAGAATCATGTCATCTGCAAATAGGGATAGTTTGACTTCCTCCTTCCCAATTTGTATCCCTTTGATGTCTTTTTCTTGCCTAATGGCTCTGGCTAAAACTTCCATGGTCAGATGGAAAGCCAAAATAGATGAGGGTACTTCAAAAAATTTGTGGAAAATAGAATTAAAAGATAAACTTAGCATTGGGCATTTGGCATTGCAGTTAAGATACCACTTGGGCTACTCACACTCCATATTAGAGTGCCCGGGGTTGAGTTCTGGCTCCATTCCTGATCTCTGTTCCTGTTAATGTGTATCCTGTGAGGCAGCAGGTAATTGCTCGAGTAGTTGGATCCCTGCTACCCATGTAGGAGACCAGATTGAGTTCCTGGCTCCTGACTTTGGCCTTGTCCAACCCCAGCTGTTGTTGGCATTTGAATGGGAGAGGTCTGTTTGTCTTTCAAATAAAAAAGTGGATGAAATTTTAAAAATGAAAGATAAATTTATTTTGATGCAAAAGAATTTTTGAAATGCATGCATACATGTCAACATATTGTATAAAACAATATCACTGACCTGAAAAAGTGCAGAGGTGATGCTGATGATAAAAGTAGTATTTGTTGCCTGCATACTCTGTGCCTGATATTTCACTTGGATTAATTCCTTTATTTCTCATGTAACTCTGTAAAGTGAATACTGTCATCACCCCATTTTATGGATGAGGAATCAAGGCTCAGTGAGGTTAAGTGATTTTACTGCTCAGTTAATGAGAGGCAGAGGCAGGATGCGATAGTAGGTGGCCTGGTGTCAGAACCCTTTCTCACTGTATGCTGTTGCTCTGTGCAGAAGGAAATCAGTAGGCAGTGGCTAGTTCTGTGCTCCATAGGTCGGGAAGGGCTTCCAGGGAGAGCGAGTAGAAGCTGAGCTTGAAGCCAGGTGTGCGGGATGGGAAGTGGCACTTGCGGTGAAGGAAGCGATGTGAGGCCCAGAGGCAGGGGAGAGTGTGCTATGTTTGATGGGCTCGGAGGGGTTGGAGGTGATGGAGCGCAGAGGACGAGGGGAGAGTGACGGGGGAGGTTGGGGAGGGCAAGCCGGGCATGAGTGAACATCTGGGCAGAGTGTTGACTGCTGGCCTGAGGCACTGCTGAAGTTCCTGGAAGTCCGTTTGCCCTGCTGTCCTGTCCTACATCTCTGTCTCTGCTGACCTCAGCAACCTCAGGGCTGAAGCTCTGAGCTCGATCTGTCTCTCTTACGGCAGGAGAGGTGCTGAGAGGGGACCGGATTGTCAACACCCCTTTCCAGGTTCTCATGAACAGTGAGAAGAAGTGTGAAGTTCTGTGCAGCCAGTCCAACAAGCCAGTGACCCTGACAGTGGAGCAGAGCCGTCTTGTGGCCGAGCGCATCACTGAGGACTACTACGTCCACCTGTAAGTTGTCCTGTGCTCCCTGCCAGCCTCCAGTTCAGGAGGGGAGGGCACTGGTGGGTGAGGTGGTCCAGAGGAACTGAGCAGGGCCTTGGGTTTCCAGCATTGCTGACAACCTGCCTGTGGCCACCCGGCTGGAGCTCTACTCCAACCGTGACAACGATGACAAGAAGAAGGAAAAAGATGTGCAGTTTGAACATGGCTACCGGCTCGGCTTCACGGATGTCAACAAGGTAGAGTGTCTGGCGCACTCACAGGGCAAGGGAGCCACAACTCTTAAGTCACGAGCACTTGGGGCCATGAAGAAGGGGAAGCCATTCAACTCTAGGCTTACAGCGTATAAAAGATAGGGATTGTGCTTTTACAAGATTGTTATTAAAAAAAATAACCTGCAACATCATCATATGGGAAAGAAGGCTAAAAAATGACAAAGACCCTGCAAATTCCCTGGCTTTGAATCCTGCCTCCACCACTTAGGGTTGTCTGAGTGACCTCGGGCCTGTGTCTTTCCATCAGTAAACCATGTAGAATAATCACACTCGCCTCTGGGGTGATTTGCAGAATAAGTCCAATAACAAGTACTTCACAGCATGGCCCCTGACTTGGCTCTTAGTGGCGATTGTCACTGTGACTGTCTTTTCTTATCTCTCTAATTCTCTAAACCGAACACAGGAATGAAGAAAAAAAAAATTTCTTTTGGGGCACAGCCCCTGTCCTCAGAGAGCTTCCATCCTAATTGGGAAGAGAACTGGCAGTGTGTGGCCCTGGGTTGAGTCTCGGTTGCCTTCCAGTGGAATTCAGAAAGAGCTCTTTGTGCGTTCAGGTTGTCATGGGAAGGTGGGCCTTGTGAGATAGATAGAGCTAAGTGGAGTTGGAAATGGATTCAAGGTGGAGTTGGGGGTGGATTATCAGAGTGAAGCCAAGAACAGAGAGAGATGCACCATAGGGACTTGATGGGGCAGGGAGGAGTAGGGGGTGGAGCAGGTGAACTAATTTGTCGTTGAAGGTGACGGCCAAATATTTTAGGGTCAAATGACACAAGGCCTTGAAAGCCGGGCTAAGAGAATTAGGCTTGTATCTGATTTAGGTTTTTTCTGATCTTGAAAGCCAGGGAGCCCTTGAAGATTTCTGAGTAGGAGAGTGATAGCAAAGTGGTGCTTTGGGAAGGTTGGCTTGGCCAGGCATGTTGGGTGGGGACTGGGACCTGTTGCCTGGGGTGGTGTCCCTGGGTGATGCTCAGATGACTTCTTGGCGTCTCTGTTGCTCCACTTTAGATCTACCTGCACAATCACCTCTCATTCATCCTTTACTACCACCGGGAGGACATGGAAGAGGACCAGGAGCACACATACCGTGTCGTCCGCTTCGAGGTGATTCCCCAGAGCATCAGGCTGGAGGGTGAGTGGGGAGGCATGACCAGAGGGCAGGGCTGGGTGGGCCTGGGCTTCTCACCTTCTCATTCCCGAACTGGCTGATAGGCCCGGCAGCCCCAGCCCAGGTGGTGCTGCTGTGTTCCCCATAGAGAAGGTGGGGTGAGGGGAGATTCGACATCCTTGCTGTGGGCTGGGCACCTTAGCAGCTTACCAGCCCTGGAAGGTATGTAGTAGTGACTGAGAGGAACCCTAGAGGTTCAGAGGGGTTAGTAACTTGGCCGAGACCAAACAGCAAACTGGGGCAGCGTTTGGTTTGAAGAATAAGGGGCAGGAGTACAGACAGCTGTTGAGAAACAGATTTTATCTTTATTTCTCTCTTTTTGTGTGAATAATTGGCAGACTAAAATTTGCCCAGAGCCAATGTTGGTGCAGGAGTTTGAGAGCCCAGCCCAGTCCTGATGGGCCTCCCAGCATCTGGCCCTATTTCACCTCACCTGCCAGCCCTGCTCACCCAGGGGCCCTTCATTTCAGCAGCAGGTCTTTCCTTTTTCCATTTGTGATTTTTCTGGTCTTAAAAAAAAAAAAAAAAACTATAGAACCTAGTTTTCAAACAAAATCATATACAGAATTCTCATAGAAAACATAGATTCCATACTTTAAAAGCACGGTGCTGCATCTCCTTCTGTGAGTGTCAGCGTAGTTTTCTGTTGATGTATGTGATCATTTGGAGGTCGTCCCTCCTTCACTGGCTTTTTCAGCTTAGAGTCTGTGTCTTGTTTTCCTGCTACCATGATTCCCAGCACCTAGCACAGTGCCTGGCAAACAGTGCTTGTTATATGTGTGTGGGATAAATGAATGGACATACAGCAGGACAAGCAAATAAATGAATGGAGAGAGCACTGAGTGATTGGATCACTGCAGTACTGGGGCTTTGGAGGGAGTAAACATGAGTAAAGCCATCCTGTTCAACAAACAGAACAAGAAGGCATCGGTGTGGTTTTGTGTGTTGAACAGGCTGAATGAGAAAATATTTGAACTGAGTGATGGAGGTTGATTGATCACAAGAGGAATTCAGACCCAGTTGCCTTCCATGCCCCCATGCCCACCATGCACATATCTCTCTGCAGCCCTGTAGAATCTAATATTTAAGGAAACCCCTGTTGCCTGCTGTGCCCCTAACCTGCACTCAGACAGACCTGGAGGCAGAGTTCAGCAGCAGGATGCTTTGGGGGCAACCCTAGAGCAGCCTTAGGGTAGTGGCACTGGGAGCGCAGGAACAGACTAAATCTCTGTCTCTCACAGACCTCAAAGCAGACGAGAAGAGCTCATGCACCCTGCCCGAAGGCACCAACTCTTCACCCCAGGAAATCGATCCCACCAAGGAGAATCAGCTGCACTTCACCTACTCTGTACACTGGGAGGTAAGAAGGGCAGGCAGGGGAGGAGGCTGAGCCGAGACTCCCCAGTAGGAGGCCTGACTTTAGTGCTCCCTCTCACCTACCAGGAAAGTGACATCAAATGGGCCTCTCGCTGGGACACTTACCTGACCATGAGTGACGTGCAGATCCACTGGTTTTCTATCATTAACTCTGTTGTGGTGGTCTTCTTCCTGTCAGGTGAGAGATCTGGGGGTTGAAAGGTAGAGGACAGGGTGGGGGTTGAGGGACCGAAGCATCATACATTACAGGGGGCTTCCAAGGTGTTCTTAGGGCCAAGTGTGGGTCAAAACAGACATCAGGGGTGTGTGCCAGGCTTCTGTGTGCAGGTAAACAAGCTTCAGTCTCTCCCCTGAGGAGGTCGCTAGGGGAAGACATCTGTTCGTGCACACAGCCATTGATTCAGTCAGCACCGCTCTGTTGTTGCGCATTGCGTGCTGGGCACTGTGCCAGAAGCTGGGGATAGCCTCTGCCCTTGCTGCCCAGTCCTGAAACTAGGGTGAGAGAGACGAAGCAGCAAGTGATAGTGGTGCTGCAGATTGTCAGTGCCGTGGAGCAGATCCACAGCAGCTGAGCAAGGGCAGAGGCAGGCCTCTGTGAATGAGGGGGGAGAGCCACCGTGACCCAAGGAGAAATTGCTGCAGCAGAGTTCACAGCCTGCTGTGAGACAAGCCTGGCAAGAAGTTAGCAGTCAAGAGGGTGCTAGGCAGAGATGGAATGCGCTGATGGGCTCAGTACCACATGAGAAGAAAGGTAGTGCGCACTGCTGTATATGAAACTTCTATTGGGACCAGCTGCTGTCCCAGCACTTTACCAACACCTCAATCCTTGAGGCCCCATGAGCTAAGCCTGAAAACATTAGTGAGCTCAGGATCATACAGCCCATTCTCTTAACCATTGCACTGTTGCTAGAGAGGCAAACAGGCAAAAGTAGGGATGTGCGGCAGGGTCTCTGAACTGTTTTGGGTGCTGAGAGGTGAATATACTCAGGGTAAGGGGGTTGTTTGTTTGTTTGTTTTTAAGATGTCTTTATTTGAAAGGCAGAGTGACAGAGAGAGAGAGGAACAGAGATATCTTCCATTGGCTGGTTCACTCCCCAAATGGCCATAATGGCTAGCCTAAAGCCAGGAGCCTGGAACTCCATCCGGGTCTCCCACCTGGGTAGCCAGGGCCTAAACACTTGGGCCATTCAGGGTGAGTCTTGAGACATGAGTAGGAGACGGGACAGAGGAAGTACTGACACAGGGATTAGCCTGGGTGAAGGCATGGAGGCAAGAAAAAGATGAGGCCGTGATCACATAACTAAAAGCAGCAGGTAACCAGAGGTGGAGAGAGAATGAGCCTGGGAGAGGTTGGGCTGGAGAAGCTGAAGGGATCAGGCCATAGAGGAGTGGGGAGCAGTGTCCTGTGGCTGTCCCCGCTTACCTAGCAGCCCTTTCATTTTCCTGCCTGGGGAGTGACCCTCTATGCACCTCTTTCCAGACAAGATCCGAGGTGGCTGCATAGCCAGTTCCTACTGGGGGAAGGCACAGAGCACAGAACCTCTGTTAGCACCGCTGATGACCCCTCCTCCCCATCCTCCTCTGTTTCAGGTATCCTCAGCATGATTATCATTCGGACCCTCCGGAAGGACATCGCCAACTATAACAAGGAGGATGACATTGTACGAGGTGTTGGCTGGGGAGGGATGGACTTGAAGAGGGCAGGAGGGCCCCCACCAGATTGGGGTGGATGTGTGTGATCATAGGGTAAACCTCAAAAATATTGAAGAAGAATTTTTTAAAAGACTTATTTATTTATTTGAAAGGCAGTTGCAGAGAGAAAGAGGTCATCAGTCTACTGGTTCACTCCTCAGATGGCCATAACAGCCAGGGCTGGCCCCGGCCACAAGCAGGAGCCCAAGTACTTGGGCCATCTTCTGCTGCCTTCCAGATTCGTTAGCAGGGAGCTGGATCTGAAGTGAAGCATCTGGGACTTGAACTGGTACTCCAGCATGGGTTACTGGCATCACAGGCTGCAGCTTGACCTGCTGTGCCACAATGCTGGCCCTTTGAGAAAGAATTGAAAAATTTATTATAGGGGGGGGGGGAGTACTTAGTTATCCAGAATATTAACTTGAAAAATGTGGTACAGTTGAAAAACTTTGTATAAAATCTTTTAGAAAACCAAGAACAAGGGCTTGGCTATTACAGGGCCTTGAAGCAGGAGAGTGGCCAGCAAATGGATGATCTTGCTATGTCACTCTACCGTAAAGGGAAAAACAGGTATTAGCCTAGCAGTTTAGATGCCAGTAAACAGGGGGCCAATGTTATGGCATAGCAGGTAAAGCCTGTGATGCTGGCATCCCATATGGGCACTGGTTTGTGTCCTCACTGCTCAATTTTCAGATCTAGCTCCCTGATAACAACCTGAGAAAAGCAGTAGAAAATGGTCCAAGTGCTTGGTCCCCTGCACCTATGTGGGAGACCCAGATGAAGCTCCTGGGTTTGATCTGGGGAATGAACCAGTAAATGAAACATTTCTCTCTCTCTCTCCCCCCTCCTCCTCCTCCTCCTCCTCCTCTTCCTCTTCCTCTTCCTCCTGCTCCTCCTCCTCCTCCTCCTCCTCCAGGGAATGAACCAGTAAATGAAACATTCTCTCTCTCTCTCTCCTCCTCTGTTTCTCCCTCTCTCTCTTTGTAACTCCGACTTTCAAATAAAAAATTTTACAAAAAAATCTATTAATATGGCCAATTCCCAGTTCTAGCTTCTGACTCCAGGTCCTGGTTAATGCCAACTCTGGCAGGCAACAGTGGTGACTGAAGTAACTGGGTTCCGGTCACCCACCTGGGAGACTTGGATTTAGTTCCTGGCTCCCAGCCTCAGCTCAGCCACAGCCCTAAATTAGCCATTGCAGGCATTTGAGGAGTGAACCAGCAGGTGGGGCCTCTGTGGCTTGCTATGCCTCTCTCTACCTCTCAACTAAAAAGTCACAATTAAACAAATCAGAAAACATCTAAAGTCTCTAATGAAATGATGAACAGAAAATTTACAGGCAAGGAACTACATATAGCCAATAAACACTCATTATGAAAAAACTGGGGGATAATCCCCAAAAACCCAGATCTAGACAATCCTAAGACAGTTTGGGAACATGAAGTTTACATGGTTGTATTAACTGTTTGGCAAGATTAACATGAGACGAGTATCTTGGAGGGTTTTAAGTTCATCATTTTCAGGAAAGTAATGGTTAGTTCATGTTAGGCTCTGTAAAATGGGTAACTTGCTTTGACATGGTAATTCTAGAATTTTCTAAAGGAAAGGATCAAAAACAAATTCTTCAACTAGAAGTATTTATTACAACTTTGAAATTAATTTCAGAGAGTATCTATTGACACGAGGAAATGCTTCTAACAAGGAACATTGTGATCCCAATTTGATTATTTAAAGCATACATATACCTAAGTGAGGGCGTTTCAGAAAGTTCATAGAGGGGCTTGCATTGTGGTGCAGTGAGTTAAGTTGCCGCCTATGACACCAGTATCCTGGCTGCTCTAATTCTGATCAAGCTTACTCACTCCCTCTCTCCCTCTCTCTAACTCTTTCAAATACATTTAAAAAAAAAGTTCATTGGGCTGGTGCCGTGGCTCAATAGGCTAATCCTCCACCTGCGGCGCCGGCACACCGGGTTCTAGTCCCAGTCGGGGCACAGGATTCTATCCCGGTTGCTCCTCTTCCTGTCTAGCTCTCTGCTATGGCCAGGGAGTGCAGTGGAGGATGGCCCAAGTCCTTGGGTCCTGCACCCGCATGGGAGACCAGGAGAAGCACCTGGCTTCTGGCTTCGGATCAGCACGGTGCGCCAGCCGCAGTGGCCATTGGGAGGTGAACCAATGGAAAAAAAAGGAAGACCTTTCTCTCTGGCTCTCTTTCTCACTGTCCACTCTTCCTGTCAGGGGAAAAAAAAAAAAAAGTTCATTGAAAATGCACACTATAGAGAATTACCCACTGTTTTATGGCTCAGATTCCTGCAGTGGCCAGGACTGGGCCGTGCTGAAGACAGGAGCCAGGAACACAATCCAGGTCCCCCCAGCAGTGGCAGGGTCCAATCACCTGAGATATCGTCGGCCGCCTCCCAGGTTCTACAGTGACAAGAAGCTAGAATTGGGAGCCTGAGCCTGGCGTCAAACCCAGGGCTTAACTAGGCTCAGTGCCCACTCCTGTGTTATCTTTCAGTTCTATTTTCCACAACCTTCTTATTGAAACCCCCTTACATACATGGATGAGTACATATGTAAAAGACTAAAAGAAATAGAGGGAACCATTGGTATCACTGTTTTGTTAATGTATAGACATTATTTAAGCATATGTCTTTTTATTATGTCTTTCTGTTCTGTATTTTCAATTTTTTTCTATACTTAACATTGCTTTTAGTTCTTTTGAATTTCATACCATATGCCAAAATTTTTAAAAATTTTTTTAAAGATTTTATTTATTTATTTGAGAAAGAGAGTTACAGAGAGAGAGAGGGAGAGAAGAAGGTTTTCTGTCCCCTGGTTCACTCCCCAAATGGTCACAATGGCCAGAGCTGAACCGATTTGGAGCCAGGAGCTTCCTCCGGGTCTGCCATGTGGGTGTAGGGGCCCAACCATTTGGGAAGAAAGCATCTTCCACTGCTTTCCCAGGCCATAAGCAGAGAGCTGGATAAGAAGAGGAGCAGCCAGGACATGAACAGGCACCCAGATGGAATGCCAGGGCTGCAGGTGGAGGCTTAGGCTATTATAGCACAGTGCTAACCCCTTTTTAAACTTTTTATTTCTTTTATAATCAGAAAAAAATACTTTGAAATCTCACTATCCAGGAACTCTTGCCATTAACATATTAGTGTGTCTGTTGTTTTTCCACATACTGTGTTTGTGGAATTACCCTATTTTCCTCTTATGCAGCTATAAGCATCATGTTTTGTTTGTCTTTTTAAACATTTATTTTATTATTTGAAAGGCTGAGAGAGAAGGAGAGACAAAAAGAGAAAGAAATCTTCCTTCTGTTGGTTCACTCCCCTAGGTGGCCACAATAGCCGGGGCCATGCCAGGTGGAAGCTAGGAGCCTAGAACTCCATCCGTGTCTCCCACGTGGGTGGCAGAGGCCCAAGCATTTGAGCCATCTGCTACTGCTTTCCCAGGTGCACTAGCAGGGAGCTGGATTGAAAGCAGATAAGCCAGCACTTGAACCGGTACTCCAGTATGGAATGCTGGCATCACAGGCAGCGTCTTAACTTGACCACAAGTCAGGCATCATGTTTGTAGCCTGTTTTCCCAGCATGATGGTTTTCTTATCACTTATACTTCTGTGTCAGAGCAGAGCTGGTTGACACCTGTGGGACTCTCAGCTCTGGTCAGGGAGACTGGGGGAGTTCCCTGTGGGATTTGTCACTGTCCTCAAGAAATAGCCTCACTCTCTGGCTCTTTGCTGCAGGAAGACACCATGGAGGAGTCTGGGTGGAAGTTGGTGCACGGTGATGTCTTCAGGCCTCCCCAGTACCCCATGATCCTCAGCTCCCTGTTGGGCTCAGGCATTCAGCTCTTCTGTATGATTCTCATCGTCATCTGTGAGTGAGCCGGGAGGCCTATGTGTGGGCTCCTGTCCCCACATGAGCCTGGGCCTTGGTCAGAGGCATGGCTCCCTCTTCCATGTGCCATAAGGAGAAAAGATTGGGTTTCCCTCCTGGAGAAGGGGGCCTAGCACTCAGCACTAGGGGGCATGTCAGTGTCTCTGCGCCAGACAGCCGCCTGTATCTGCCACCGCCCCAGGCCCTTGGCGCGGTGAGTGTCCTCCTAGCTGCCAGCTCCATTTATGGAGCCCACCTGTCAGTGAACCTGCACAGCAGCGCTGGGATGTTGTCCTGTATTCAGAGGCTCAGTGGCTTACACAGAGTCAGCACCAAAATTAGGACTAGAATCAAATCTTTTTTCTTAAACAAGGGAAAACACTGTTGTACTTACAGACAACTCTGAAGTCAGTCTGCCTTAATTTGTATCTCAGTCTCATGCCTCCAAGCATTATTACCTTGAACAAGCCATTTAACCTTGGTGAGCATCAGTTCCTTGTCTGAGAAATGGGGGAATGGGTGTCTACCTTCCAGAGTTGACAAACGGATTCAATGAGCTGGTATTTGTAATTAGTACTTTCTAGTCTGGAAGCTACAGCTGAGATGTAGCCAGTCAAGGCCCGACAACTGCTACAGCCACCTGGATCCCAGCTAAGACCCTGGCTTCTCCTGTAGAGGGGAAAGGACTATACTGTTGAGAGGGCCAAGAGAGAAAGGGGCCTATGAGCATGACCGGGGTGGGAGCCAGGGACCTAGCGATCAGCCATCCTGACTCTCTGCCGCCTGCCTCCCTCCACAGTTGTGGCCATGCTCGGGATGCTGTCACCCTCCAGCCGGGGAGCTCTCATGACCACAGCCTGCTTCCTCTTCATGTTCATGGGGTAGGTGTGTCAGAAGGGGTCCCAGGGGCTGGCACAAGCTCTTCCCTGCACTAACAGTCCCCCGGTATGGATCTGTATTTCCCCACAGGGTGTTTGGCGGATTTTCTGCCGGCCGTCTCTACCGCACGCTCAAAGGCCATCGGTGGAAGAAGGGAGCCTTTTGTGTAAGTGTCTCTGGCCTCCTGCCAGTTTCTTGGGGATCTGAGGATCCTCTTCCTGGGCTCCTCAGAAGTATAGCCAGGTCTGGTGAGGAATGTTGGGCTGGAGGCCAAGCAGGAACACTGGGGAGCAGAGCCTCTTGGGGCCATAGTTGCACTATCTAAAACAAGGGGGTTGAGTTTAGGTGACTTTTAGACTACATTGTCTGATGGCTCAAGCAAGAGAAGAGATAGGGGATCAGAATGACATTTGAGCCCAGCTGCTGGGGGAACAGCCAGCCTGGCAGAGTGAAGAGAATCACCTCCCCGGGCACCAGACTTTGGTACCTCCATTGCTCTTCAGTGAGGATGACTCCTTTTCATTCTCTTCGCCGGGGAGTGCGGCCTTGTTTGCAGAGAAGACCTTAGAAGCTGGGGGGAGCCTGGGGGTCATTCCCTTAGAGGACCAGGAACACTTCTGGGTGCCCAAACTCAAAGCAGCCTCTAGTTCCAGTGTCTGAAACCATTCTTGCAGCTGTCAGGAGCTCAAAGGGAGCTCAAGTGTCTGTTCCTGTTGCCACCCCTCTGGCATGGAGCAAACCCCCCCACACACTAAAGAGGAGCTGCAATGGTGAAGGCCCCCGTGTGCTGAGAGCAAGGGACCTAGAGAAGAATAAAGCCCACCACTCACCGCCGCTGGTGATGTTCTTTCCTGGTGAGGTCTCCTACCAGAAACCAGCCAGGATCTTCCTCAGTGGGGCCTCCGCCAAACCCAGTCTCTTACCCAAAATGTCCCCTTGCATCATTCGCCCCCAAACCAGAAACATGAGAAAAGGCCTTTTCTCCTCCTCCTCCTCCTCCTGATACCTTATGTCTTAAGACATCAGGTGTTGAAGGTTTTCCTGCCAGATATACTACGGATCCCCTTCATGTCTTCATGGTCAAGGCTCTGGCCCATGTTCAGTTGTCTTTGCCCCTTGAACTTCCTTGGCCCTCCACAGTCTCCTGGCAAGACTCTGACCCTCCCCTGGTGTCCCACCCTCCCACCACAGATGGACATCTGTAGTCCACAGCAGTTTTGAGAGTACAACTTCCCTTCTCTCCTCCAGCCTTGCCTGGGCCCTGCCCCTCTCCCTTCCCCTGGCTGGCATCGCCTCATCCCTTAGGTCTTAGCTCCACCATCATCCTATAGAAGCCTCCTCCCACCATTCGGACCTCTGAGTCCTCCCTGGTGCCCCAGAGGAGCTGGGCAAGGCCTTGTGCCTGCACATTCTGCCTTTCTGTATTGCTTTCCGTGTATGTGTCTGTCTTTTTCTTGGAATTTTTTCTTCCTGTTCATACCCCTATGTCTAAGATGGTGCCCAGCCCATAAATTTCAGCCAGGAAGGCAGGTGAGGAATTGCCTGCCATGCAGAGAATAAAGCAGGAACACACAGGAAGGGAAGAAGTGACACCTGAGGGTCACCTTTCAGGTGGAAGGAAGCAGCCTGCAGAAGGGCCTGACCCTAGAATTGCCTGAATCCCAGTCTGTTCTGCTGGCTTGATAACCTTACACACTCTGAGCCTCAGCGTCCTCATTTCTCCGATGGGGATCGTTGTATCCAGCTTTTAGGGTTGTGTAGATGGAAGGAGACTGAGAGCATGCAGGAGCAGTGGGCGGGGAGGCAGGTGGCGGCAGGCCAGAGATGAAACTGGTAGCAGATGTTGCGCATCAGGTTTCGGAGGGCCTTGGTCGTTGAAGTTGTGACTCGCCTAGATGCTCAGGCAGCCACAGCGGTCTCTGGCCTGATTGCTGCAGTGTAGCGAGGAGGAGGCTCAACTCTAAGTCTAGGGCTTGGTTCCCTGTGCCTGTACCCCAGCCCAAGAGGTTCTGGCTGACTAGACTATTCTGTACTGGGTCTGGAGCATGGGCACTAGGGTCAGACTGCCCAGGTTTGACTCTCTGTTCCACCCTTGATGGAACAGAGTTCTTTGATGCTCTTCGATTTCCAAAGGGGTTATGTCCCAGTAAACCTGTTGTAAGTTGAAAATATGCTAAGTTGAAAATGCTTTGAATAAACCTAATCTACCAAATATCACATTATGGTTTCTACTGAATGGGCATCATTTTCCACGCCATCATAAAGTTGAAAAATCTTAAGTCGAATTTTCATTAAGTTGGGAACTTAATTATGTCTTCCTGGGAGGAGAGCAAGGAAGGGGCCGTTTCAGGGATGGAAGAGGCCATGGTGTGGAAGTCCTGCCTGTGTCCGCCGTGTGGAAGGAATGATACTTGAGCTGAGTTTTGGAGGAGATGAGTTTGTAACTTTGGTCTCAGAGCTTCCTGGATGCAGCTCCCCAACCTGGCCCCTCTTGCTCCCAGACAGCGACACTGTACCCTGGCGTGGTGTTTGGCATCTGCTTTATATTGAATTGCTTCATCTGGGGAAAGCACTCATCGGGAGCGGTAAGTGCCCTTCCTCTCGCCCTCCCGGCCCCTCCCACCCCACTCCGCCGAGTCACTTCCTGCTTTTCCCTTCCGACTGCTGACTTCCCAAAATTCTGTTCCCAGGCCTGAGGGCTGGGGACTGGCTGGTCTTTCCCCAGTGCTGTCTGTGCCCTGGCCCTGGCCTTTCTGTGGACTCTGAGACAACTAACCAAGCTCACTTCTCAAAAGGGAGGTGTCTGTGGTCCAGCGGCCACGTAGGGAACTTCCCTTTGTCTTGGTTAAGGAGCAGCTGCCTGATGGGAGACTGTTAGGGCAGCAACCAAAAGCAGGTCTCTCCCAGCATCCCTGCACTCACCACCAGCCCCTGCAGGTGGAAGCAGAGGAAGGGGAGAAGGACGCTGTCTTCTCCTTACAATGGGTATTCTGCCAGCTCCAGTCTGTTGTGTGGCTAGCAGCTGCCCCGGTTGCATTGGGTAGGATTTTGAACCCTGAGGGTAGAGGAGATGGGATCTTGGGGTAGCAGGGCTGTGGTAGAGGTGGGCGGGCATTTGGCATCCCAGCCTGAGCAGTGGTGCCACCTGTTAAAGGTTCTCCAGTGAGGCGGAGGAGTCCAGGCAGCCGGACGGCTGGGTTCTGCAGCAGCTTGAGAAGCTGCCCCTGGGAAAGGCGTGCTCTGCCTTCCACTTCCGCTTCCCTTGTGTCTCTGTTCCTCCTTCCTTTCAACATTTCCACCCATCTACCAACAGCGCCATCAGTGCTCACTGTGCAAATTTTGGGAAATTCAGAGAAGTTAAATTAAAATAACTTTGAACCCAACCACCCAGAGATGAAGACTATATGGATCTTTAATGTGTATCTCTTCAGTCTTCCGTTTTATAGACACATCTGAAATAGAATTATGGAATTCTAAAATTAAAAAAGCAAACATTTATATGAAGTTAACTTTGTAATAAGTACATGCATACATACATTGTAATAAGTACATACATTAATTTCTTCCTTTTTGCATTATTTGTATGAAAAATTAGTTCTTATCCTTGTATCTCCCCTAGGGAAGTACTGCTCGCTTTTTGGTGTAGGCCTTTCCAGGCACATATACATAAATGTGGTTTTTTTTAAATAGTTATTTATTTGAAAGTCAGAGTTATTTATTTATTTATATATTTTTTATATTTTATGTTTATATAAATAAATATATAAACTGTGTGTTTATGTGTTCATATTTATATATTCATATTATATTTATATGAATATAATTTAATACCAATCTATAAATATTGTATTTATAATTTATATAATTATATGAATTATAATTTATATTACATAAATATTTATATTTATGTGTTTATTTGAAAGTCAGAGCCCCTCCCTCACCCTCAACACAGAGAGAGAAGGAAAGGCAGAGAGAGAGGTCTTCCATCTGCTGGTTCACTCCCCAGTTGGCCACTATGGCCGGAGCTGTGCTGATCCAAAGCCAGAAGCTTCCTCCAGGTCTTCCCATGTAGGTGCAGGGACCCAAGGACTTGGGCCATCTTCCACTGCTTTCCCAGGCCATAGCAGAGAGCTGGATCAGAAATGGAGCAGCCAGGACTTGAACAGGCACCCATATGGGATGATGACTCTGCAGGCAGTGGCTTTACCTGCTATGCACAGCATCAGCCCCAAACTAAAATGGGATCTATGTATACATAAGTTTTCTTCTTTCTTTGCTTAATTACCACATGTAATTTCCATCCTGACCATTTCCTCTCCCCTGCATGTTCTCGGTTCCCTCTTTCCCTATTCTTCCCCACTCCCTCCCTGGATGCTGGGCTCCTCTGGGATGCTGGAGTTCCTTCTTCACTGGAAGCCCGAATGGCCCCCAACTGTACTCTCTGTCTCCACGGCTGGGATCAGTCCCAAGAGATTCTGACCAGGAGCACTGTGGTGGCCGGGGGCAGGGGCGTGTGTGGTACATGTGCAGGACTTTCCTACCACGGTGGCCCTGCTGTGCACATGGACTCTCCTTCCCTGGATCCCGAAAGGTCCGTCCTGCCCTTGCAGAGCCCCCATCCCGGGCCTCGGGGCTTGTTGAGAGTCACATGGCACTGGGTCCGCAGGTGCCCTTCCCCACTATGGTGGCTCTGCTGTGCATGTGGTTCGGGATCTCCCTGCCGCTCGTCTACTTGGGCTACTACTTCGGCTTCCGCAAGCAGCCATATGACAACCCTGTGCGCACCAACCAGATCCCCCGGCAGATCCCTGAACAGCGGTGGTACATGAACCGATTTGTGGGGTAAGTCTTCTGGCAGGGGCGAAAGTGGATGAGGCCAGTACTCCCCTGCACCATCTTGTTAGGAGGACGTGGAAGAGGGTTCCCTGTGTCAGGGTGCTCTGACCAGTGTTCAGGCAGCTCTAGTGGCTCTGTAGGTGTCATGAACGCTCAGTTTTACTCCAGAGTAAAGAGGACAAGGTTGAGGCCAGACTTGGTGTTGGCCAGTGAACAAGGATGGTGGGATGGGTTGAGAGGAGAATGCTCAACCGGCTAACACTGTTTAACTTGGACCTCGGGCAAGTCACCCCACCTCTCTGAACTTCAGTTTCCCATCTGTGAAATGGGGAGAATGATGCCTGCCCTGCCTACTTGTCAAGAGGCAGCAATAGTGTTAGAACGTCATGTGGCCACTCAGGCTCTGGTTCAGGAGGGAGCGTGGGGCTTCCTGGGAGCCTGGTCTCGGGCAGCAGTGACCTTCTTTTTCTGCGGCAGCATCCTCATGGCTGGAATCCTGCCCTTTGGCGCCATGTTCATCGAGCTCTTCTTCATCTTCAGTGTGAGTACTGCTGCCTGTGCTCTGCCCTACAGTGTGAGTACTGCTGCCTGTGCTCTGCCCCACAGTGTGAGTACTGCTGCCTGTGCTCTGCCCCACAGTGTGAGTACTGCTGCCTGTGCTCTGCCCCACAGTGTGAGTACTGCTGCCTGTGCTCTGCCCCACAGTGTGAGTACTGCTGCCTGTGCTCTGCCCTTCAGTGTGAGTACTGCTGCCTGTGCTCTGCCCTTCAGTGTGAGTACTGCTGCCTGTGCTCTGCCCCGCAGTGTGAGTACTGCTGCCTGTGCTCTGCCCCGCAGTGTGAGTACTGCTGCCTGTGCTCTGCCCCACAGTGTGAGTACTGCTGCCTGTGCTCTGCCCTACAGTGTGAGTACTGCTGCCTGTGCTCTGCCCTACAGTGTGAGTACTGCTGCCTGTGCTCTGCCCCACAGTGTGAGTACTGCTGCCTGTGCTCTGCCCTACATGTGCAGCCCCAGCCGCGCAGGCCCGGGCTCTCCCTCCACTGGGTGCTCTGCTCTCACCGCTGTGAGGTGACAGAGCCCCTCCCTCTCCCTCGACTCAGGCAACAGTGCTGCCGCCCAGGAGAGCTGGGGAGTGAAGTGAGCTGTGCAGGGTCTGGTGTACGTGTGGTCCAGACCTGGTGCCCAAAAGCTGTTCTGTACTACCCAATTATTCGCCTTGTGATTTGCAGTCTTGCTGCATCAGCTTTGATTGGTTTTTTTTGTTTGTTTGTTTTTGTTTTTTTTTAAGATTTATTTGAGAGGCAGAGTTACAGACAGCAGAGAGAGGTCTTCCATTCACTAGTTCACTCCCCAGATGGCCAGGAGCCAGGAGCTTCTTCCAGGTCTCCCACATGTGTACAGGGGCCCAATCACTTGGGCCATCTTCCACTGCTTTCCCAGGTCATTAACAGGGAGCTGGACTGGAAAGAGAACTGCCGGGACTCCAACTGGCACCCATATGGGATGCCAGCACTGCTGGCGGAGGCTTAACTTACTATACCACAAAGCCCCCAGCTTTGATTTCTGGGTCCTACCTCATATCTAACAGTCCACATACTCACAGCTCGCAGGAAAGAGATGTCTGTGGCGGGGATAAAGTAATACCTGCCAGGGTGCTTGGCATTCAGGAAATGCTATTGCTGCGATGATGACTCCTCCTGCCAAGAGTGCCGAGATGAGAGCTGACAGGAGGGCTCTTCAGAACCATGCAAGTTTGGCTCGCCCAGCTCAGTGCGCAGCACATGCGGTCCCCTGCAGCAAGTCAGCACACGGCAAGTGTCTGCTATTCCAGAGAGCAGGGGAGCCTCCCTGCACACTCCCCTGCCCACCCAGGCCTGCCTGGAAGCTGGTCAGAGGGTTGTTGGCTGCCCTTTGCCTGCTGTGCACCCCCCAGGGAGGACCTTCCATGTGTCCCTGTGACTCTGGGCCGGTCGCTAGCCACTCTAAGCCTTCACTTCTCAGCTAGCAAAGGCCAAGTTTTAAACTCGCATGTGGAGAGGAATAAAGTCATGTAGCACAACACCTGGCATGTGACAAGCTGCCCCTAAGTGGTGGTGGCTCCTGTGTACGGTTAACTTTTGAACACCAACATGGTCAAAAAATCCACGTAAAGGGACAGCGCTGTAACGTAGCGGGTAAAGCCACCGCCTGCAGTGCCGGCTCCCACGTGGGTGCCGGTTCAAGTCCCAGCTACTCCATTTCCAATCCAGCTCTCTGCTGTAGCCCAGGAAAGCAGCAGATGGCCTCCGTCCTTGGGCCCCTGCACCCACGTGGGAGACCTGGAAGAAGCTCCTGGCTCCTGGCTTCGGATCAGTGCAGCTCCAGCCGTTGCAGCCATTTGGGGAATGAACCAGCAGATGGAAGACTCTCTCTGTCTCTCTCTGTCTCTTTCTGTCTCTCTCTCTCTCTCTCTCTCTCTGCCTTTCTGTAACTCTGCTTTCAAATAAATAAGTGAATCTTTAAAAAGAAAAAAAAATGTAAAACTTTTGCCTCCCCAAAACATTGCTAATGGTCTGCTGTTGACAGAAAACCTCACTGATGAAGTCAATGAGTACATTTGGGATTTATTGGTATTATATACATGAGCAACATGCGGGATCGGTGCAAGGCCACTTTTTGCTGCAGTTCGCACTTTAGTTGCACGGCGTTTACATGATACGTGGAACTCTTGAGCCCCGCGGAGCCGTGGGAAGTGGCTGCCAAGTCACTCCAGTCATACAGTGTGCAGTGTGATTAATACTGTGCTTAGGATTGTTTACACTTCTTCCACCACAAAGGGTGCCTTGTGTAGGCTGTATGAAAGTTTTGATACACTTTAACTTTTTACAATAAATTTGCACATATTTAATGGGAGTAAATGATAACCCCATTATCTACATATATTATGTATTCATGGCGTTCCTTTTTCTCAATTTTATGATAAAATTCCTGGACTACACAGTTCATCTGCAAGTTTTTCAAATTATCTCAGATCTTCTCAAAAATCCACATATGAGTGTACCAATAATTCAAACTCATGTTGTTATTGAGTCAGCTGTAATTTTGATTGGAATGAGTTCAGGCTGAGGTACACCCACAGTACACAGTAGGCTCAGCCTTACCCCAGTCCTTTTCTGAATGTCTCTGGTTCATCTGCTACTCTAGGGAAGAGAACTTGTATGCCAGGCCACAGGCATATGTGCCACGGGAGGGGCAGCTTGGGGGATGCAGGCTGGCTGAAGACTCTGTCTGATGTCTCCACAGGCAATCTGGGAGAATCAATTCTATTATCTTTTTGGTTTCCTGTTCCTTGTTTTCATCATCCTGGTGGTGTCCTGTTCACAAATCAGCATCGTCATGGTGTACTTCCAGCTGTGTGCAGAGGTGAGGACGGTGGAGCTGGGGCAGGGGTAGGGGCACTAGGTCCTGCACTGGCTCACGGGCTGTCCAAAGAGGCTGAGGCTCTTGTGCCCTTCCCCCTTTCTGGTGACAAGCTCTTGGGCCAGCACATAACTTCCCTCTCCAAACCTCCGTGTACTCAGCCGTCCGTTGAGGTTAGAAAGCTGCCTGAGCACATTGTGTGGGAGTACCCACCATGACCTGAGAAGACAGCACATCTGTCAGCAGTGTGTCCACTCAGAAGCAGTTTCTGCAGTCTGCTGCAGCTGGTGACTGCTCATGCACAGTGGGTGTGCGAGGGCCAGGAGACAAACAGCCTAGGCCGGAATCGTGGTTCCTCTCTTAGCAACTGTGTGTCCTGAGCAAGTTGCTTAGCCTCTGTGCCTTCCATCCCTCCTCAGTGTGACAGGGATACTAATAGGATGCAGCTCAGATAGCTGCCTAGGGACTAAATGAGCTGATTCACAGGTGCCACCTAGAATGGTGCCTGGCATGTGTTAAGCTTTGCTGAAGAAATGTTAATTATTCACTTTTGTTGGTTTTGTTAAAAAATTGAAGTATAATTTGTGAAGTTTATACTTTGTAGTGTACAACTGTGTAATTGACAGAAATACATGTAGTTGTGTAACCACCATCACAGGCAAGTGATAAAACATTTCTGTCACCCAAGTATTACTGCTGTCACCCTGAGTCTTCAGCCCCTTGGGCAACTGTGAAATTTGGCAAGAAGTTCTGCCTGAGGCAGCAGTGACTCTTCCTGTTTCCCCCTCAGGATTACCGCTGGTGGTGGAGGAATTTCCTAGTCTCCGGGGGATCCGCGTTCTACGTTCTGGTCTATGCCATCTTTTATTTTGTAAACAAGGTACTGCCCTCCTTGAGGAAGTCCCCTTGGTCCTCTTTAGGCAGGGTGGTTGTGAGGAGAACGCTGGGAGAAAAGCTTGTGTGTCTGAATTGTACTTCCTGTCCTGAAGGGGGTGGACCAGTGTCATCCAGAACTATTTCTACTCTAGAACATGGTATTTTTTTGAGAGATGGACACCCTTCTTGTATGCTATCTGCAATGACTGGGTCTAGGTCAAAGCCAAAGCCAGGAAGCAGTAATTCAATCTTGGGTGGCAGGAACCCCATTACTGAGCTGTCCTTGCTGCCTCCCAGGATTTGCATTGGCAGGAAGCTGGAGTCAGGAACCAGGAGTCAAAACTCAGGTACTCCAGTGGGGGACATGGGCATCTTAACCACAAGGCCAGATGCCTGCCCTGGAACGGTGATCTTTTTAGAAAGGAGAGAATCAATGTTCTGAATATTTGAGAGACAAAAGCTTTCAGGATAAATGACAATAAGAATCCTGCATGCAAAACCTATGCATGCAGCCAAAGCAGTACCTAAAGTCAGTATGTCAGCTTCATTGCTTAGAATAGGAAATAAAAGAGACTGATCAAACAGTATTTACCTCAAGAAACTGGAAAAAAGAAACAGTAGCATCAAAGGATCGAGAAGATGAAAGAATTAATAAAGACGAAAACACAGGAGGCTGAGATACCATCAGAACTAAACCTAGGACCTGAGGCGGGGGTCTCTGTCCCTGGAGGCTTCCTCATCTTCACTCCAAGTACTGTTCAGTCCTGCAGTCAGAAGAGAGTGGCAAGGCCTCTGCTTGCGTCTCCCACGTCTTGCTGTGTGAGGCCCCTGGGTCATGTGGGCTCATGACAAGCAGGAGGCTGGCTTGCTGTCCCCAGAGAGTGGCATGAGGAAGAACGCAGCCAGATCCCGTGACAAGTCTGATAGATGCGTATATGACATGTGAACCAGATGGTCCAATGCGAGGAGTTTGGGGGAGCAGTGATGAGCTCCTCACCTCCAAGACTGACACTGAAGACTTGATCTCACCTGTTGTACCTTGGTCTCCAAAACTCAAAAGCAAGCAGTCATCCTTTTGTAACCAAGGTGTATTTGTATTTGCAAACTGAGTCACAGGTCAGTGGGTTGAAACTTGGCAATGCCCTTTCTCAAACATCAAGTTGGACAGGATTCTTAAGACTGTCTCAGTGCAGTGCTCCATGCCTGTTTCCAGTCTGATCACCATGTCTCACTTCCACAGTCCCGTCCCTGTAAATGATTGGAGGTCAGCAAACTGTGTGGACCAGCAGGCCTGTTTTTGTTAATAAAGTTTTATTGGAACACAGCCATATTCGTTCGTTTCCATAATGGCTGTGTCTGCTTTCACACTGCCTTGGCAGAGATAAGTAGTTGCCACAAAGACCATTTGGCATGCAGAACTTAAAATATTTATATAATCTAGCCCTTCAAGAAGAGGTTTGCTGACCCATGCCACAGCACATCAAGTGACAGAGAAGATACTTCTTCCTGACACTCACATTCTCTCTAGGCAGCTCCTGTCATTATCGAGGTCTTTCTTGATTTACACTGCAGTCTGCCTCCCTGTAACTTCTGTCTTTGGACTTTAGTCTCATTCCTGCATCACTCAGAACAAATGTCTCCCTCCTCTACAGCTCACATTATTCAGAATTCTTGTGAGTGGCAAGTGACCAAAACCCAGTTCAAACTGGCTTGAGGAAAAACAGTTTGTTGTCTGAATTAACTGAAAGTTTAAGAAATTGGAGTTCTGGCTCCAGACATGGTTAGATCTGGGGTCTCAGAAGATGTTAGGGCTCTGAATCCATACCTTCATTGTGTGCGTCGTCTTTTGGCTTCATTCTGCAGACAAAATCTTTCCATGATGTAGGAGGTGGACAGTGGCAGCACTGCCACCAAGAGAGTATCTTTCCTGTACCATTGCATAGCAGTCCCTGGAAGACCTCACTGGTGTGCATAGGCTGTACACTGTTGTTCAGTGCTATACCAGAATTGATGGCCCCAGGAGGACCACACAGTAGCCAGTGTGTTCTGCAAAACACCTGGAAGCTGAACGACAGAAAATAGCGTTGGACAAACAAAAACTAGAGGTGGTATCTCAGCCTCCTGTCCTTCCTCCCTCCTGCCCAGTCTTCCTTCTCTAAAGTTGTCTGCACCACGGCCAAGGGCCCCCTGACCTGAGAGCCTTCCTGTCTCTGGCCTTTGCTCATCCCTTTGCTGGTTTGACCACTGCTCTGCCCCTTGTTCTCCATCCCCTCACCCTGTCTCTAGCCACAAGAATGCTCATAAAGAGAGACGAGGTGTTGAGCTTGAAAGCGTGGCCTTCGTCCCTTGGGCTCAGGAGAGAGCCTCAGATGGTGGCCCATATTGCTTTTTTTATTGTTCGCGTCTGGGCTCCTGGAATTTTGTGGCCATGAGTCCCAGTGCACTGGTGATTTGAAAGGCAGAGTTACAGAGAAAGAGAAAGGGAGAGACACAGAGAAAAGAGAGGTCTTCTATCCATTGGTTCACTCTCCTACATGGCCACAACAGCTGGGGCTGGGCCAGACCACAGCCAGAAGCCAGGAGCTTCTTCTGAGTCTCCCACATGGGTGAAGGGGCCCAAGCCCTTAGGCCATCTTGCGCTGCTTTTCCAGGCCTTTAGCAGCGAGCTGGATTGGAAGTGAAGCAGCCGGACTCAAACCAGCACCTGTATGCAATGCCAGTATCACAAGTGGTAGCTTTACCCGCTGTGCCACAATATGGGCCCCACACTGGTGATCTTGATTACAGGGTTCCAGATAAGCTCCATTTGTCCCACAAATACCATCACAACAGAGGTTTCTAGCCTTTCTGCCCAGACCTCTGAACCCTACCCCGTCTAGAGTAGGCCATCTAAGACCCTGCAAGATAAGAACCACTGGGAGTTGTTAACAAAAATGAAAACCCTCTGGGGAGGAGGCAGGTTGATGGTGGCTCACTGGTCCTTCAAGTAGGAACCTTGAACAAAACCTTCCTCACCTGCCCACCCCCTTTCTGCTGCTCGGGCCACCCAGGAGTGCTGCTGCATTGCTTTGGTTACTGGAAGAAAGTGGTATTCTGGCCCTGGCTCCCATGAGGTCATGAGCATGCAAGGCAACACAGGCCCTGGTCTACTTGTGGAGTAGCCATGGGCCTTTACCCACCTGTGAGATCAGTGAGAGGGTGGGGTTCCCAGGTTGGCTGAAATTGACTGGCACTAAGCATCCGCCCCTCTCTTCTCTCTCTGCTCACTGCCCCAGCTGGACATCGTTGAGTTCATCCCCTCTCTCCTGTACTTTGGATACACGGCCCTCATGGTTCTCTCCTTCTGGCTGCTCACGGGCACCATCGGCTTCTATGCAGCCTACATGTTTGTCCGCAAGATCTACGCTGCCGTGAAGATAGACTGATGGGGTGGACCGTGGCCAGGCCCGCTTCGTCCTTGGACAGGAGGCCACCCTGCGTGGGGGACTGCAGGCACACAAAATAAAGTAACTCCTGCTCATTTGGAATGTACCTCCTGGCACGGTGTTCCTGGATCCCGGGCTGTGTGGGGGCGGGAGGGCCTGTAGATAAATCTTGCATTTTCTTCATCTTATTCCAGTTCTGTGGGGGATGAGTTTTTCTGGATTGTTTTTTCATCAGTGCTAAGAAAGTTCCCTCCAACAGGAACTCTCTGACCTGTTTATTCAGGTTTATTTTCGGTTTGGGTTTTTTTCCCCCTTAGTTTTTTAAACAAATGGATCCAAGATGGATAAATCCACGGAGATAGTGGGTTCTGGTCAGTGTCTCCATCTCAGTTCCTCAGAGCTGCTGGCAACTCCGTGACTAACTGGAAGAGGAAACACTGGGCCCTCAGTGAGGGCTTTGAGTCTCTTGCCGCTCATCTTCACCCGTGATGCCACCACCAAGCACAGCTCTAGCCTGGACAGCGCCCCAGTGCCATCGGCCTCTGCCAGCCCCTCTTGCTCCCGCTTCTCTCCTCCCCAGCCTCCTTCCAGGGCTACCCACGGCCAGGTTCCAGCCAGACCTCTGGGTCCTCTCACCAGGAACATGAGCAAGTCTTGGCTGCTACAAGGAAACCCCCGGAAGTACAGGGGCCAGGTTCCCCGAGACAGCAGGAGCCACCTCTGTTCAGAGCGGCTGGAGTTTGCTGGACCAACAAGGACGAAGAGAAGAGACCTGCAACAAACGGATTGTGTGCCAAGAAACCGGACCTGGGGCCATGTATTTCTAGAGCCAAGTGTCCATGGGGCTATGTCCGGGAAGGTTTGCTCCCCAGCTCTTTCCAGTGTGCTAGTGGTGGACCCTCTTCTCCCCCACTTCAGGGCAGAGCATGGAGGCCCAGAGACCTCAGGTCCTCTGCTTTGGGTGGCTGGGCCGAGGCACTCTCTCCCTAACATCTCCCGGCCTCGATGTTCACACTCAGTTCTTTCAGACAGACCCATCCCCTCCGCCTGATTTCCTGGCTCCTCATTTTTGGGATACCCAGAAAACCCCTTTTGAGAAGGAAGGTGGAAGGTAAGTTCTGTCATTCCTTCCCCTGGTCCCGGGAGTGGACAAGAAGCCCAGGGTCCCCAAGTTAGAAAGAAGGGGCTCGGTGGCTGACCTGGCTCCTCCATACATTCCCGGTCCTCCCATCTCCCATCACTCCCTGCGCATGGCAGACATTTGTTCCTAAGTTGTAAGAGACCAAATCACCCTGGGATTAGGCCCCAGTTCCAGCCACTCACCCTGCTCCAGGCCTTGTGGGACTTGCACCAGGAGACAAAGCTCAGAATGCTGGTTATCTAGGAACACACCTCTGCCCCTCTCTCCCACACTCCCAGCGGCCTCCCAGGCCGCATCAGTCAAGCCAGTCAACTTCTCGATCTTGCCTCACAGTAACTGCAGCGCCAAGTGGTGGCCCCGGAATCAGGTTGGAGAAAAGGAACCTAAGAGTAGAGAATGATATTGGAATATTTTGTTCATTAAAATTTTTTATTCTTTTTTTTTCCCCTAAGAGATTTCTGTTTTGGGGGTGGGGGGCAGGGAGGAATGAACTCTTCCTAAAGGTTTCAAACATCGTCGATTTTTCTGACTTTTTAAATCATCATCATTATTATTTTTAACTAAAAAAAAAATGCCTGTATGCCTTTTTTTGGTCCAGTTGTAAATAAAAATGCCATTGTCCTGTTGTTGAATCTCCTGCAGGGATTGGGGTCTGAAGTGAGACCAGCCCCACCCCACCCCCCTCAATAGGCTGTTGAGTGGTTTCTGTCAAAGCTCGGTCTTCTGTCACTGTAGGGCTCAGGCAACACTGTTCCCTGCCAGATCCAAGTTCCCTCTGCTCCGCCCCTCCACACCAGCGAGCACACATTGGCCCCTGTGGTGCCATAGGCAGGCAATGGCAGTCAGGTGTGAGCTTTGGTAGCAGTGAGACCTGGCTTTGGATTCCCAGCTCCAATATTTTACTGTCAGTTCGCTTCATCCTCTCATGCAGGACTCCTTCTGCTGAAGCAACAGAAACAGTCCAACTGGCTTAAGTCTGAAAGGGAACGGATTGATCCAGAAGTCATCAGGACAGTGTTGGTTTCATTTCAGGTCTGGCTGGATCCAGGGGTTCAGAGGATAATGCGGTTTCTAAGAGCGTTAGGTCTCTGCTCTTCTGCACCGTTGTGTTCTCGCCTCATTCTGTCTCCTCATCGCCTGTCTGCTTCTCTCGGGGCAGTCGTGGAAGGCCGGTGCAGATCACTGGGCCTTGGTTATCTGGTTTGGTATGCCTCCTTGTTTCACTGTGTTCAGTACATGTTCATTCAGTATAGGTAGGCCCCAGGAAAGGCTGCTGGGTGGCCCAACGTGGATTACTGTTTGCACATCTTGCATGAATCGTCACGTCCAGGGCATATGGGTGTTGCAGGCCACCGTCCCCAAGGGTATGTCAGCCCCGCCAGAGTCATTTGGTTTGGTAAGGAAAGGACAGTTCCCCCACGTTAAGGATGTGAAGCAAACAGGAGCAGCAGTTGCCTGTTAGCCCCACCCGTCCTCCTCAGCTTCAGGTCACCCCACTGTGCAGTGAGAAGAGTGCCGCCCACATTTCCAGAGTGCTTCTGTGTTCCAAACACTGGGCCTTTGTCAGCCATTTCATCCTGGACATGATCCGAGGTGACAGCTTCTCGTCATCCTCAAGAAACCACTGAGCTGTGTCTGTCACTGCCTACTAAGTGACATTTCCCCAAGCTTTGGATGAATGGACTCAGGCCACGCACTACTCTGTCTTCATTCAACCTACTGATCTTGAGGTTCATCTGTGTTGTTGTTTATAATATTGATTGATTGATTGATTTGAAAGGCAGAGTTGCATAGAGGCTGAGATAGAGCGAGGTCACACTCCTACATGACCACAACAGCTGGAGCTGGGCCAGTCAGGAGCCATGAGCTTCTGGGTCTCCCACAGAGGTGCAGGAGCCCACACACTTGGGCCATTTTCCACTGTTTTCCCAGGCCATAGCAGAAACTGGATCTGAAATGGAGCAGCCAGAACTCTTCAGCGCCTGTATGGGATGCCAGCACCACAGGTGGCGGTTTTACCTGCTATACCACAGCGCCAGCCCCTCATCTGTGTTTTTATGTGGATCAATAGTCCATTCCTTTCTTAAATTTCGAGTAGTATTCCTACCAGTATTTGTAGGAATTTTTGTATTTGTCAGCAAGCTGTTTATCTACTTACTATGTGCCCCCTTTTACAGAAGAGGTAACTGAGACACCAAGCAGATGAGGTAACACTGAAGGCTCCATGACAGGTATGTGGCTGCTCCTGTCCTTCCAAACATGAAGCTGTAGCTTTAAAATTTATTTACTTATTTATTTATGTATTGTTTTCTCCATTGAACTTTTATTTGTATGCGTATGTTACATGCCTAGAAAAAGAATCCCAGGATTTTCCCTCCTATTTTTTTTTTTAAATTTATTTGAGAGGTAGACAGACATTGAGAGGGAGAGACAGAGAAAAAGGTCTTCCATCATTGGTTCACTCCCCAAATGACCGCAACGAGCAGAACTGCGCCAATCCGAAGTCAGGAGCCAGGTGCTTCTTCTGGTCTCCCACGCGGGTGCAGGGGCCCAAGGACTTGGGCCATCTTCTTCTGCTTTCCCAGGCCACAGCAGAGAGCTGGATTGGGAGAGGAGCAGCCAGGACTAGAACTGGCACCTATATGGGATGCCAGTGCCACAGGCGGGGGATTAACCTACCCCAACCTCCTATGTTTTTGTCATGCTTCTTCATGGTCCATGATGCCAGCTGAGGATGTCAGTACAATGAAACCAAACTGGTGGGATGGAAGCAGATTATTCTGCCATTTTTCTAGATGTTTCAACTGCACATCAAATCTGGGGCTGATCACTCCACACTTGTTTAACCTGCCCATGAGATTGACAACAATCTTCCCAGCTCTGTGCTCATCAATGATTTCAAATCCACCACTGCAACCGTGCTTCCTCATCAGTTAGAGACCTGGCGATAACTTTGGAGCACGGCCTAATCAGAACCTGGTGTTTGCCTCTCTTCTCAGCTTTGTTGATACTCTTGAGAGCATCCGCCAGGGCGTTCATGGAGGCACGGAAAGAGGACAGGAGGGGCGAGAGCATATGGGGTAACTGCGTTTTTTTAAAAGATTTATTTATTTGACAGAGTTAGAGAGATGAGAGGCAGAGAGAGAGAGAACAGTCTTCCATCCACTGGTTCACTCCACAATTGGCCACAACTGCCGGAGCCGCACCCGCACAGCTCTGGCCCCCAGGGACAGCTGTATTTAAAGTGATGTGTTTAACCAGGGGCCTTCAAGAAGTTCATGGAAAATGCATGTTACACCCCCCCCCAAAAAAAAAAAAGGATTTCAAACTTTACAGCAAAATAAACTTTTCCTTTTTAAAAACTATTTGAGGGGTTGGCGCTGTGGCGCAGTAGGTTAATCCTCTGCCTGCAGCGCCAGCATCCCATATGGGCACTGGTTCTAGTCCCGGCTGCTCCTCTTCCCATCCAGCTCTCTGGTATGGCCTGGGAAAGCAGTGGAAGATGGCCCAAGTCCTTGGGCCCCTGTACCCGCGTGGGAGACTGGGAGGAAGCGCCTGGCTCCTGGCTCGGATTGGTGCAGCTCCAGCCATTGCAACCATCTGGGGGGTGAACCAACGGAAGGAAGATCTTTCTCTCTGTCTCTCCCTCTCACTGCTGTAACTCTACCTTTCAAATAAATAAATAAATAAATAAAATCTTTAAAAAAAAAAAAACTTTATTTGAAAGGCAGAGAGACAGAAAAGATCTATCTACTGATTCACCCCTCAGATTTCCATAGCAGTCAGAACTGGGCCAGGAACCAGGAATTCAGTGGGTGGCAGGGACTCAAGTACCTGGGCCCGTACCTGCTGTCTACAGGGTGCATATTAGCAGGAAATTAGAATGGGGGAGGGGGGCACACTGTGGTACAGCGTGTTAAGCCATCATCTGTAGCTCCAGCATCCTATATGAGCATCGATTCCAATCTAGCTTCTTGCTAGTGCACCTGGGAAAGCAGCGGAAGATGACCCAAGTGTTTGTGCTCCTGTACTGATGTGGGAATCCCAAAAGAAGCTCCTGGCTCCTGGCTTCAGATTGGCCCAGCTCTGGCCATTGCTGCCATTTGGAGAGTGATCCAGTGGATGGAAGATTCTCTCTCTCTGACTTTGAAATAAGTAAATAAATCTTTTACAAAAAGAAAAGCAGTGGAGCCGGGACTTGCCCATGGACACTCTTAGATGGATGTGCGTATCCCTAGTGGTATCTTAACCACTGCGCTGAATGCTGCCCCCTAAACTAATCTCAATTCCATTTTTCACCACCTGTGAGACTGTCACCAAAAGCAAAATATTGAAAACATACCAAGTTTCCCCTATGCCACTTTCTAATTCAGCCTTCCAGCTTCTCATCCCCAGGAAACCACTGATCTGGGTGCTGTCACTGCCCTTAACTGGCCTTTCCTAGGGCTTTAGAGGAGTGGACTCAGACACTACTTTGTCTTTTTTCATTCAGCCTACTGATTTTGAGATTCATCTGTGTTTTTATGTGTATTGATAGTCCATTCCTTTCTTAAATTTTGAGTAGTATTCCATTGTATTTATCAGCAATTTGTTTATCTACTTATCTGCTGATGGACATGAGTTTGGGCTAATGCAAATTAAATTGCCCTGGGCAAATGAAGCAATGAAATAACTAGACCAATTGATAGGTGTATCTCACCTAAACTGCCAGGCTCTCTTCTTAAAAAAAAAAAAAAAAAAAAAATAGGGGCCAGCGCTGTGGCATAGTAGGTTAAGCCTCTGCCTGCAGTGCTGGCATCCCCTATAGGTGCCAGTTCATCTCTCGGCTGCTGCTCTTCTGATCCAGCTCTGTGCTGGTGGTCTGGGAAAGCAGCGAAAGATGGCCCAGGTGCTTGGGCCGCTGCGCCCGTGTGGGAGACCCAGAAGAAGCTCCTGGCTCCTGGCTTTGGATCAGCCCAGCTTCAGCTGTTGCAGCCATTTGTGGAGTGCACCAGTGAATGGGAGTCCCCTCTCTCTGTCTCTCCTTCCCTGTGTCTGTAACTCTGCCTCCCAAATAAATAAAAATTTAAAAGGTTTTTTTTAAAGATTTGAGATTTATTTGTTTGAAAGGCAGAGTTGCAGCAGGACGTGGAGGGAGATCTTCCATCCACTGGTGTGCTCTCCAGGACTTCCTCCAGGTCTCCCGTGTGGGTGGCAAGGCCCAAACACTTGGGCCGTCTGCAGCTGCTTTTCCCAAGCCATTAGGCAGGAGCTAGCTGAGAAGTGGAGAGCTGGGACCCAAGCCAGCACCCACATGGGGCACTGGCATAGACCACAGTGCCAGCCCCTGTCCATCTCCTGAGGCACCGGCATCACCCTGTGTGCCCATGAGCTGTGTAGAGCTCCGGCTTCCCTGCATTCTAACACTTGGTAATTTTAGACATTTAACGTGTAATATCTCAGGATGATTTTATTTTACATTTCTCTGATAATAAGTGATGTTGAGCATCTTGCATGTGCTGATTTGTCATCCAGATGTCTTGTGTGGTAAACTACCTGTTTTTGCCCGTTTTTTATTGGGTGGTTTGGGGCTTTTAAAAATCATTTCATTTTATTTGAAAAAAATAGATCTATCCACTAGTTCACT